TGTAATGTCATCGCAGTACTGTCTAATTTTGCTTGCTTCGCTGTCAGTCGAACAAACGAAGACTAAAGCGTGAATGACGCTCTGTATACGATTTTAACGCCCTATAAGTTCGGACACTTTTTAGCGCGGACCCGACGTCCATATAATTGTAAGTCAATGTTGTCAAGTGTAAAAAAATTACCTATGGAATAAATGATTAATTGACTTTGACTCTTAGTGGCACTGCAGCTGTTATGGACAGGCATGTAGTTTACCATCAAACGCACGACTGGTTCGTCCCGTAACTTGATATTATAAAAAAAATCCGTGCCTGTTACATTGCTGCAATTTCAAGCAACTTCCTAAATAACATTAAAATCCGCTGATAAAACAAGGTTTTTTTAAAGAATGTTAATATTGTTATTTATTTATTAGTGATACCTACTACCTACATTTTATCTTAATGTAATCAATACCTGATTAACTGATATTGTTGTTTGTTGTTCGTTGTTTGAAATATACACCTACGTAATACTATTTTATATTTTCTGAATGTAGGTACAGCTATTGAACAGATAAACTTAGGTATCTTGTCGTATTCCGACTAGCGATGCGCGATTGTGAATGATTTCGATATTCGACTCGTTAGTAATTTAATTACTAATCCTGTCTTTCGAATGATAAATTAGTAAACAGCTGATTTTCGTATTCGAATGATCTGAATCATCATTCCTTACTAATTAGTATTATTAATTCATAGATTCCATAGAGCATTTCTGCTCGAGATCATCTAGCCCTCTCTAACGGTAAATACGTAATTGTGACGAGAGATATTTTGATATGGATATGGTGAATGATCTGGTGGAGTTCCGACATAATAATCTTTCTACTCGTACAACCGACCGAATCGCAGGGGCATTCGGTATCGATAATCATTCGACTCGAGTCTTGAATATGGAAAAATGCTTGGATTTGACTTCGGCGAATGATTTGCCCATGAATGTATTACTAACAGTTAAAGTCGCCCATCGCTAATTCCGACCATCATACGTCGGTTTCTCCATACGATAGTCAAACACTGTAGCCAATTGTCCAAAAATCTGAACCCCAAATATATTTGTAAATTTGATGAATTTAATACAATAACTTTATTCAAAGCCATTAACAAATAGGTACTAGATACATAGTTACATAATTTATTAGTTATTGATTGGTTGATTTCTGACTAGTCAGGCAACATCCAGACAACACAAAAGGGTCTAAAGACTACCTTCTAAGGGCGCGTTCCCATTACGTCGTAACGTTTTATTTATCGCTGGACTGTCGCGTTTAGCCTGTTCCCATATCACGAGTATGGGCCGTGGACGCTTATTTTATCGTTGAACAACTCGTGTCTAGATGTTCCCATTACATCGTGACGACAATTTATCAGTTCACGGCAGCTGCCTTGTCGTTTGCACGACAGAGTCGTTTGAAGCTGCGATTATCTGTCGTCACATTTTTATCGTGACGTTATTCATCGTCGGGGGACTGTCGTAACGTTAAAAAAGTCGTGAATGACAGTTAATCGTGTTGTTCTATGTCTGAACAACTTCTTTAAAAATACCAGTCACGACACTTTAAACTGCACGACTATCTGTCGTCACGACATAATGGGAACGCGCCCTTAGACTAGCGTCTTTCGAGCGTCAGCGTCGATCCAACACATGCACAGCGGCCACTGCGTCGACACCACGTCCGCGCGGCGGCGGCGCGACGTATACCCGGCACTATTCCGCAGTCGCTCAATGCTGACGTTGTTGCGTCGCCACTGCGCGGACGCCGTGTCAACGCTGTGCGTGCGTTGGCAAGACGCTGTGCGTACTTTGGCCAAGATGCTGGCACTCGAAAGACGCTAGTGTGGTAGTGGTCTTACCTATGTTAGGAGATAATACTGTTGTACCTATGTAGATTTTAAAGCTTTCGTGGTTATACACTAAATGATTATCACTACTGTGAAAAGATTTCTTAGGTTTATGCGATTGTTACATATAGGAAATGAAACTATTTTCTAAATCGCGTAGATTATATTTGTTTTTTCTACCAAATCAACGTTTCAGGCCCTTAATAGGTCCCATGGTCACGACTGACTGAGATGATAGTCATTAACCACTTATTTATCACTTATTTCTGCCGCCAAGCAGTAATGTGAGTGCGTTCCGGTTTTGAAGAGTAAGCATGCTGGTGAAATTACAGGCACATGGGACTTTCAACTTATTTCTCAAGGTGACGCGCGCAGTGGCTGTGCCCCTCAGATCTTTGAATTTTAAAGCTCTGAGGCACTGCAACTGTTACGAACAGGCGTGTCGCTTACCGCCAGGCCCACGACGTCTTCGTACCGTCACTTAGTATTATAAAATAAATTAAAAAAGTTTAATATGAATACAAATCACCCTATTTTTCGTTATAGTCACAAAAGTTATTAATTTAATTACCTTGTTTTTTAATTTAATAAAGAACGTTCTAGTTCTTTGTTTGAAACAACACAACAAACAGTACAACAGTATGAATTTTTACTAAATAAAATTTGTTAATTAAGAGAAATTAAAACAAATTATTGTTAAATGAACCCCAAATTAAGTCAAAACAATGGAATATCATGGTAGTAAAACTTCATAGTAAAACATTATGAGATCAATAAACTACTTATTACAATATGAGATCATTATAAAATCGCGAAGTATTCATGTACGATGTAAGTAATTACGGAAGGTTCAAGTTCTCTTTGGATAGATTATATTTATTAAAATGAATTAGCTGATAATGATATAACTTGGTAAGTTTTTCGTCCTGTACGAATACATATTGGAAATCAAAAATTTCCATTTACTCGTCGTAGAAATGTAAACATTTGCTTCAATTATGAGGAGCAAGGTTGAATTTAAAATCCAGTCATGATGCCTTTTAAATTGGGATGAGTTGTAACTTTTATTGGACAATTGCTCGGACACGCATCATGAACATTCGTCTGTACTATATACAGGTTGTTTTTAAACGACAGTCAAATTTTAATATTACTTTTTTTAGTATCATTCAGTATCACTGGAATATATGACACAAATAGTTGCAATTTTTTTAAGTATATAATAGACAGCATGTATGAAGAGACTGATGGGAGTGGTGGAGGCGAGGGTGGTTTGTCTGGTACGTAGCAGGTGGAGGTTCATAGTTTCTGCCTACCCCGGTAGGAGACAGGCGTGACGATATGTCTGTATGTATGTATTATGGTAATACATATTAAATATATTATATTATATAAATTAATAAATATATTATATTATATATATTATATAAATTAAATATATCTAGAATAAACTTAAGAACACTAGTTTTTAGAGTATTAATAGACTCTACTGGACGTGTATAGAACAATTTTACTAAAAATAATCAGTTGTTCTACAGATGAACTTAAAATAAGGACTATAAGAGTAAATCTTTAGAGAGATTACACTTAATGAAGTTGTTTGGTACTTATTAAGGTTTTAAAATTTTGACTTGAGTGACATAAGTCTATAAGACAATTTCTTTTTCTAAAACCATTTATAGAGAACTATTATCTAAATCTATACCATATCAAATTGTTTATAGATATAACAGTTTTAAGGCGTATAAAGTGTGCTCCTACAATGATTTTCCAAAGCAACAGTAGCTACGTGTCCAATTTTATTAAAAAAAGAAGCAATCAACCGCTTAGAGGCACTTTGCACGCGCACCACTTTGGTTGGTTTCGCCTCATCTCGAAAGACCCTTACGCTCGATTGCTGCTTTGTTTTGAGATCATAACTATAAATCCAAGTTTCGTCACCTGTTACTATGTCCCACACCAAATTTGACACTCCTTCATTGAATCTGGTAAGCATGGCTTTGCACCAATTGACGCGATCCGTTTTTTGAGCCTCAGTCAAGTTGTGTGGGATCCACCGAGAGCACAGCTTTTTCACACCCAAATGATTGTGTAGTATTTATTGTATTTGACTCGCGCGTCGCCAGGCGGTGTAGTTGAAAAACAGGACGCGACGCGACGCTTCGACTCTGCGCACGTGTGACTTGAGCCTAAATAGAAGGAAGACATTGACAGAAGAATGTATATGCAAGAACAATTGTATCAAAAAATGTATCTCCAAGAACAATTAGTGTGTAATTAAATGGAATATATGTATATTTTTTTGCTAAACAGGTTTTTGTACAAAACTGGCGCGCTATTCTGTTTATCACGTTTTGTATAGGTATCTTTTTGATAAATGATAAGCATCGTAAATAAAATGGGTCAATATTATCTAAAAGCAATATAGGCATAAGCATATAAATACTACTTACATTTAGATAATAGAAAGGTCCGACCATATTTCAGATCGTTGTTGTCGTCTCATTTTCTTGTCATTTTTAATAACTTTTTCCATCATTTTTATCTTTAGACTTTTTATTTATTTTTTTTTTATTTAATTTTCATATCGTGTTATTTAAAATTCAGAAATTTCATGTGCATTTTTATAAGCAATACTCTTGATAAAAATAATATCAATGAAAATCAACCAAATAAAATATATATATCTCATTCATCGTCTTAGTAGCAATAGAGCTCCTTCCGAGTCCGTCCTACCACCTTACCTATTTCTGCCGCCAAGCGTTACCTACTGCGTTTCGGTTTTTAACGGTAAGGGTGCTGGTGAAATTACAGGCACGTGGGACTTGTTAACTTCTGTTTCAGGGTCACGGGCGCGGTTGCAGTGCCCCCCAGATCTTTGCGATTTAATCGTATCTGTGTCAAGAACCAAAAATGATTACGCAATGTACATATTTTTCTAATTACTGGTACGATCACCACACAGTCACACCTTTTGTAATACATTTTACAACCTCAAAATACCTGCGAGATCGCTCACAATTTTCAACACCATGTATTTTTTATTTACGTTCATGGCTTAAAGTCGTAAGCTCAGCATATATATAATCAGTAGTGCATAATTCTTTCGAGCACCAACATGTTTATGTTGTATGTGACGCTAGTGCTATTGGTGGTTATTTGTATTTTGTATTTATTTTCCATAAGGACATTTAATTATTGGAAAAATAAAAATGTCGCCGGCCCAAAGCCAGTACCTCTATTTGGTAATATCGCACAAACAGCATTCCGAGAGAAATACATGGGAGAAGATATCAAAGAAATTTACGAACAGTTTCCAAATGAAAAAATAGTTGGATTTTACAGAATGACGTCGCCAGCCCTGCTTATTCGAGATCTTGACATTGTTAAGGCGATAATGATTAAGGACTTCGATTTATTTATCGACCGTGGTATGGAGTTCGGCAAAGATGGACTTGGAGTCAATATGTTCCACGCTGATGGCGAAACTTGGAAAGTGCTTCGAAGTACATTCAGTCCTATCTTCTCCACTGGGAAGCTAAAAAACATAACCTACTTAATATCTGAATACGCTGATAAACATGTCCATTACATTGAGCAATTGCACTCTGAGCCACCAGAAATGAAGGTTGTACCGCTCACACGCAACTACACTATTGCTACGGTAATGGCTACTGCTTTTGGTTTAGACCTTGATATAAATGACAATGTTTATAAAAAACTTGCCGATATTGACAAACTTATGTTCTCAACGAATTTTGTATTAGAATTGGACATGCTTTTTCCTGGTCTTATAAAGACACTGGAAACCTATGTATTGCCTAAAAAAATTCAAATTTTTTTTGAAGATTTAGTAAGTACAGTCATTAAACAAAGAAATGGAGAACCTACTGACAGGAATGATTTCATGGATTTAATATTGGCTATGAGGAAAGAAGGTGAAATTAGCAAAACCAGAGGAGATAATACAATCAGTTTAACTATTACCAATAATTTGATCGCGGCACAAGCATTCTTTTTTTATTTCGGTGGCTACGAAACGAGTGGTACGACTACTGCTTTTCTGTTATACGAATTAAGTGTAAATCCTGATGTGCAAAGTAAGGTTATAGCAGAAATCGATGAAATGTTAGAGAAAATGAACGGAAAAGTAACTTATGATTCTTTAATGGGAATGTCATACTTAGGGCGAGTATTTGACGAAACCCTTCGAATGCATCCAGTTGTCGAGTCTTTTGCTGTACAAAGGAACGCATTGAGGGAATATAAGATTCCTGACACAGACGTTACGATACCTAAGGGTATGTTAGTATGCGTGTCACCTTCTGGTATTCATTACGATGAAAAATATTATCCAAATCCGTACGTGTTCGATCCTGATAGATTTTTACCGGAAAATGCAAACAATCGCCATTCTTGCGCCTACTTGGCGTTTGGTGTTGGACCAAGAAATTGCGTTGGTAAGTATTTAGGTGTACATAAATATATGACGTATTCAATAATGTGAAATGTCTCAAATAGTAGAATAGCTTAAATAATACTCTTGGGTTGTGAGTGCGAAGCAGAATGAGAGTTAGTATTAAGAACATTTGAGAATGAAAAACAAATATATTAGACGAGCCAATACAAATTGTACATACAATAACACCATGTGACTCGACTTTTGTTTCTGATTATTCAAATTTTTTTTTTGTTCTAACATAAAAACATGGAAGAACTTTATTTCCCTGCAAAAACTACGCTTTTGTGATCAGAACAACGAAAAGTTGAAATTCGCGGCCTCTAAGGAAACGTACAAATTTTCGGGATTCTCTTTATTTAAAAACAAAAAGGGAACATTATAATTTCAAATGATTTATATTTTATTAAATATATTTCTACAAATTTATGACAAAGTACCTAGAAACGTGTAGATTTTAGGGATTATGTAAATATCACCATGTAGCAATACTACGTATACTACAGTGACCGCCACAAAAGTAAATGTTCAGGGGTATAGATACTCTTTTATACATACTTGTTGCTGAATTAAACAGAAAGCAATGTACTGAAAAAAAAAGAGAAACTATTGACTAGGCAGTATGGTTTCAGACCTTAGGAAAACTCGGAAAACCTGAAGGAAAATAAAAAAAAACAATATTGTCGAAACAGAACCTTTTCGTCCCCGCTTCCTGCCATCTCTACTAGAAAACCATGAAAACGTAAAAAGTTATGAAGTTATTTACAATTACATCATTTCCACTTTTGATGCAATATGAAGATTAAAACATATCGATGCCTCACTTTCTTAAACTCGTATCTTAGAAAGAGGATTATTCAGGAGATGGCAAAACTTTCTTTTTATTTTAAATTTCTTATCAAGAGTCGTAATTTAGATGCATCACTTTAAGATAAAAGCCAGTGTGTTAATATGAAGGAAATACGATGTGAAATCAGCCTGCAAAACTGGTATAATTACCTATACAATAATTTCTTTGCATTTCAGTAACTTTGTGTTTTAAGATACGCGTTTGAGAAAGTAAGGCGACGATATTTACAAAGTGAAACCAAAATGTATAATAGGCTGTATAGCATTATGCCAAAGCCGTTAAAACTCTACATAAAAAAGAGCCTTTTTGAAAATTTGTTACATTGTTAATTAATTAGCATAAACGATGGAAAAAATATATAATTTGTGAGCAATTCAATAAGACTTGACTGTTTCTTTTTTACTTTTTCTATATCATGAACACAGTATTTTTGTTTTTTGTTTTTAGGTCAGCGTTTAGGGAAGTTACAAGTGTTGATGTACGTCGTAAAACTGTTGTCCAAGTTTAGATTGGAACCTTCTGACAATACACCGTCGTCGGCCAAAAACATGAAGTACAATGCACGACGATTACTACGAGGTCCACCTGAAGATCTGTCCTTGAGATTTGTTAATAGGAACTAGTTTTTTAAGAAAACACTACATCATCTTTACCCACTCGCCCGTCTTCTGGGAGAAAAATGACGCCAAAGAACAGAAAATTCACATGTATGGCGGCCATCTTGGAAAATAGCGGAATCGAAATTTCGAATCGATATAATAAATCGTTAGATCGTATGCATCTGAATAGATGTTCATAAAAAGTTAATCCTAATGTACATCCTTAGTAGTGAGAATTCACAGGATTGCAAGGTACGTATTTGGTGGAGTTGCGTTTTTTTTGGCTAAAAAAGATTTTTTACGTCGAAATTTATAATAAGTATGGAATTTGAGGTGCCTCCGTGACCGAACGGTTACCATGCCGGACTGCTACGCAGAGGTCCCAGGTTCGATTCCCGGGCCGGAAGAAATATTTGTATGACCTACATATATTTCTCTCGTGAGTTTGGGTGTAATTTGTAGTTGTTTATGTGTGTGTCCGTGGCACCCGCGACACAGGGTTTCCCTAGTGCGGAGCTATGTTGCGTGTGTGCGTTCTTATTAATTATACTAAATTTTGTATTCGCCATTTCCGCCCACGATTTTGAGCAAAAATTGGTTAAAAGCGCTTTAGGTAATGACCCGGTTAACACCCGAGCGGGTTGATTGGGTTTTAACCCACTGCCCATTTCTGTTCAAGACAACAGTGAAATAGACGACGCTAACTCTCAGTCTTTAGTAGTTGCTGTAGTTTACACTTCGGTAATGTACTTGAAATTTGTGGTGTACGCGATCAAACTTTGCGGAACAACATTGCCTATACGAGAACATGTTGAGCACAATTATTCGGTTATCTTCATCTATTGAGGCACACCGACGACGATGTACTAAATTCAACACGTATCACCAAACAGAAATAGCGTTTCTTCAAGTATTATTATTAAAAAGTCATAGCAATCGCAACGTGACTCTTTATCGAGTGAGAATGTGACATTTTTCAAAAAATGAGTACTAAGCATTGACTTACAAATAAATGGACGACGGGTCTAATACAAAAACCACGAAAAAAATGTCCCAAGTCAACCTATTCGAAATTTAAATTGTAATGTCATCGCAGTATCGCGCTGTCAGTAGAACAAATGAAGACTAAAGCGGAGTGTCGCGCTCTGTATACGATTTTAGCGCCTTACAAGTGCGGACACTTTTTAGCGCGGACCCGACGTCCATATAATTGTAAGTCAATGGTACTAAGGCGTAATTGCATATAGTCGGCTTATTACAAGAAGTCACTAACTGCCATATAAATTATATGGCAATTTTAATTAATTAATTAATTTACTTTATTGTTTTAAGAAAAAAGTATACATAAATAATGTAAAACACCGTTAAACCCTACTTGGGTTTGTCTCGATGCCATTCATTCCTTGCTACGAACAAACCAATACAAAATATTAAAACAAACTCTTATAAGTAGGTAGACATTGTTTTTATCTTTATTTGGAGGCATACATTTGTACAACAGTGAAGACGGCAAAGTATTTTTGTTATTCGACTAGACACTGAGCGAACCGTCCGGAAACCGGTTTGTTAACAAGTATACAGGACGCCCCAAAAACAAATGTTAGCACATTAAGTAAAGAATAAATTTAATTTTAAATGTCTATATTTTATAGTATATGTAGTATTTATAAATAATATGTATTATTACTATATGTAAATAGACATTAGTTATGGAGTAAAATTTTATGACAAAAATTAGTGTCTGAACATTATGTATCTGTATGTGTTGAAAAATATCTTTTGAGTATGATTTTGATATTTTTAGTATTGATTTGATCACGAATTTCTTTAGGTAATTGATTAATTTGTTGTGGTATAATATATTCAGATGTTCTTTTACCACAGTAGTTGTTAAATTTAGGCTTTTGCAATATTGTTTTGGTTATTTGTCTTGTAATTATATTGTGAGATATTGGATGTTGATTTTCAGATCGAAAGTATTGTTCTTTTAAAATTTGGAGTCTAAATTTTTCATGAATAGGGATAATTTTACAATAGTTAAATATTTCGTTATCATTGGTTATTTTATTTTTAACATTGTAGGGTAGTATCATTTTCAATAGTCTCAGTTGCAGTCTATATATTTGCTCTAAGTGAGAAGAAATGTACGGCCATAGGACGTTAATCCATATGATATTATACTTTCAGCCAGTGCTGTATACATTGTGATTCTAATATTAAAAAATATTCTATTACGTATGATGTAAAATTTTGCCAATATAGCTCGTAATCTGTTGCAAACCCAATCAATGTGAGGACCCCAGTTAAAATTATTATCAATTATGACACCCAGATATTTTAGTTCTGTTACCTGCTGTAGCTGCACGCACTTGCATTGTACGTCAGTCGATTTTGCGTGCAAGCATTGGTGACTATGTCCTGTGATCGAAACAGAACTTACCGTTTTATTGTGACACGAATGTATATGTAACAGTTTCGATTTTTATATTAGGTTCTCAAGTCGACTGTTTTTTTGTATTTTATGTTTTTTTGTATTTTTTGTATTTTGTATGTTTTGTATGTTTTTTTTTTTGTATGTATGTTACACGATAAGTCCGGTATTTGTGAACCGATTTTCGTGATTCTTTCTTCTTCTTTCTTTTGTTGGAAAGAGGGTACATCCATAGTGGTCCCATTTCATTTTGAAGAAAATCATTCACCTCTAAGGGTAGCTGATCACGCATGAACATTCATTTTTATAAATAGCGCATAAATTTTTCTTAAGGAGCAATTATTTTAATGGTTGGTATTGCTGTTCTCCAATTCAAGGCGTTTTTCTCGCTCAAAGTACTTTGAGTAGTGAGAACCGATTTTTATTATCTCCTGTGTCAAGTCCTGTATAGTGGCGAACTAGAGGATACTTCAATAAAACTTGGCAAATAGATGTAATTCCACGTACTTTTGAGGTCGGTTTTTTTAGTACTCTGTACTGAGATTATTAAATCGACAGTATTATAATTTATTAATCAATCTAACTACATTTATGGTTTATTTATACAATTACAACGTGACAATTCTTGTCCAAACCATTACTATAATAATTTTAATAAAATATTGTTATTTGTATGTGCTACCTACTGATCGGTTTGAAGTTTTGTCTTACCACTAAAACAAATATTGATACTTAAATATGTACAATATCTAATTATATATGTTTGGAGTTGGTGCCAACCAATGAAAAAAAAAAACAAAGAAACACCTACATTCTAATGCTACACAGTAAGTTTGTAAACTTGCATTGGTTGGCACCGACTCCAAAAATAAATAATTAGATACGCTACAGTCATGATACCAGTCTCCTTAAACTTTTCAACACAAATATGGTTTGAATGTCTGCCGCTTACCCCACATGAGAATCCCGTAGGACATTATAATATGGAACCACTAAAGTAAACTAGTTTAGCAATACTAACATCGGTAAGGTCACGTATTCTGCGGACTGCGTATGCAGTGGAGCTTAATCTGCTGGCTAGGGAAGTTATATGTGGAAATCATTGAAGTTTACTATCTAGGTCACTCCCAAGAAAACTGCTTTATTAACAAGGTCTAACTTTTCTTCGTTTATTTTTATGCTTGGACTAGTCGATTTTACGTTAGGTAATTCAAATTTAACACACTTTGTCTTCTTGGCATTAAGCAATAAATTGTTAGCATTAATCCAATAAACCACCTTAGAGAGGGTATCATTAATATGGTCATAGTTAATGTCATGTCTGCCTGTTTTAAAAATCAAGGATGTGTAGTCAGCAAACAATTTTTTATTACATATTTTAAATTTCACAATGGTCCTTAACAAAGAACGACATCCTATAACTTCAAAATAATCAACAGTGTTTTCCTATATATAATTATCAACACCATGTACTTTCGGTCGTAAGTATAAATGTAATCAGTAGCGTAAAATCCTTTCAAGCATCAACATGTTTATATTGTACTTTTCGTAATGCTACAGATATGCTAAATATAAGATCAATAGGTATTTAAGTTTACTTAATTTTAATTTTAATTACGGCGCATTATAAGTTTCAATAAAAAAGAAAAAAATACAATAAATGGTCAGAAATGAATTTATCGTTTTTTCTCAAAATATTCTCCGTTAGCGTTAATGCACTTTTTGTACGAATGAACCAATTCTGAAAATTTATGCCACTCGTCCGTGACAATCTCTGAAACATTTTTCATACTCTTCGACAGCCTCTTCAGGTGATGAAAATCGTTGACCGCGTAACTGGTTCTTAATTTTTGGAAATAAATAAGTCACAAGGTGCCAGGTCGGGACTGTACGCGGGATGGCTTTTAAGGTCAACGTTGTTCACCTTCAAAAATTCATTTGGAGTGGAGTCATTTGCCTGTCATGTATAAAAAAAAAAAAAAAAAAATTGTCTGGACTGGCATTACCGTGGTGCAAGATGATATGGCGTTTACGGCTATTTTTACGGAGTTAGTCAATAACTTCCGGCAAACAAATGGTCGTGTACCAATTACTATTCACGGTACAATGATTCTCCAAAGCAACAGTAGCCACGTGTCCAGTTTTATTAAAAAAGGAAGCAATCTTCCGCTTAGAGGCATTTTGCACGGGCGCCACTTTGGTTGGTTTCGGCTCATCTCGAAAGACCCATACGCTCGATTGCTGCTTTGTTTTGGGATCGTAACTACAAATCCATGTTTCGTCACCTGTTATTATATCCCATGCCAAATTTAACGCCCCTTCGTTGAATCTGGTAAGCATAACATTGCACCAAGTGACGCGATCCGTTTTTTGAGCCTCAGTCAAATTGTGTGGGATCTACCGAGAGCACAGCTTTTTGACACACAAATGTTTGTGTAGTATTGATTATATTTGACTAATGCCTAAGCCTAAAGATGCCCGAATCTCATGGTATGTCACATACTTGTCTGTTTTGATCATACGGCACACAACATCGATGTTTTTGTTGTTCACAGCAGTGGACGGGCGACCATCACGAAATTCGTCACTGAGATTCATACTACCGCGTTTGAATTCTGCAAACCAGCTATAGTCGTCTTGCCCCATGCAAGAGCATTCATCGCCAAAAGCAGTTTGAAGCCGATCAAAGCTCCTTTGAGCTGTTAAATTACACTTAAAGTCGTAGAAAATCATACTACGAAAATTTTCACGAGTTAAATCCATGGTGATGTAGACAACCAATTTCTAAAATGACGCTACAATATAAAAACAAGTGACAGTCAGATGAATTTCAAATGTTGTAATTACTTTTTTAAAAACGTCTTTTATTTGTTTTTCACAAGAACGTTCAGCTATTCGAAGAATAAAAATGTCGCCGGCCCAAAATCAGTACCCTTGTTTGGAAATATGAGACAGACAGCACTCAGAAAGAAATAGGCGCAGAAGATGAGATCAAAGAAATCTACGAACAGTTCCCGAATGAAAAAATCGTTGGAATTTACATAATGACGACGCCAACCCTACTTATTTGAGATCTGGATATTATAAAGGCAATCATGATTAAGGACTTCGACTTATTTACCGATCGTGGTGTGGAGTTCAATAAAAAATTACTTGGAGCCAATATGGAGTATATTGGCTCCAAGTAATTTTTTATTGAACTCTGATGGTGAATCTTGGAAAGTACTTCCAAGCACCTTCAGTCCTCTCTTCTCCAAAAGAAAGATCAAAAAATTGTCGTATCTAATGTCAGAATATGCCAATAAACATGTTCATCATATTGTGCAAATGTACTGTGAAACACCAGAAATGGAAATTACAGAACTTACACGCAAATACACTATTTCTGCGATTGCGGCTACTGCGTTTGGTTTAGACCTTGAAATTAATGATAAAATTTTTGAAACTTTTACTGAGATTGACAAACTCATTTTCGAAATAAATGTTTTTGTAGCACTAGATATGGCTTTTCCTGGTATTCTTAACAAAATAGGAAGCTCACTATTCCCTAAAAAAGTGAAGCATTTTTTCCTTGATATAGTAAAAGCAGTTGTTAAACGAAGAAACGGAGAACCTGTGGGAAGAAACGACTTCATGGATTTAATTTTGGCTATGAGAAAGGACGGTGAAATTAGCAAAACCAGAGGAGACAATAAGATAATAAGTTTGACTATTACCGATAATTTGGTCGCGGCACAAGCTTACAATTACACAATGTTTTTTTCAGCGGGCTACAAGACCAGTGGCTTCACTTCAACTTTTCTGTTATACGAATTAACTGTAAATCCTGATGTGCAAGAAAAGGTTACAGCAGAAATCGATGAAATGTTGAAAAAAACTAACGGGAAAGTAACTTACGATTCTTTGATGGAAATGTCATACCTAGGAAGAGTATTGACGAAACACTTCGAATGTATCCCATTGTCGAGATCGCATCAAAGGAATATGCTATTCCTGGGACAGCTGTGACTATACCCAAAGGTATGATGATATTGTATCACTGTCTGGTATTTATTCAGTATGACAGAAAATACTATCCGAAACCTGAGGTGTTTGATCCTGAGAGATTTACACCGGAAAACGCTAAGAATCGCCATTCTTGCACGTACGTGCCGTTTGGTACTGGACCACGACACTGTATTGGTAAGTTTATGAAATATTTTGACATTTATTCCACGATATTTTCGGCGAAAAGTGAAATTTTAGGTCGAAGTCTAACCTAAAATGTTCATAGATTTAATACAGGTGTAGATCTTGCGATAACGAAAAAGTTTACATTGTGCACTTGCAAGAGGGGACTGGAGGACGAATCCCATTTCATAAAAAAAGAACCATTCATGATTGAAAATGTATGGTTGTGGACAACACATATTATGACGTTCCCAAATGAAACTTATAGCGATGTAAACTTAACGTTTTCATTTAATAATTTCAACGTTCCGCTTAGCAAAAGTTCAACTCATGATGTTTGACGCGAAACTTTTGTCCAAATTTAGACTGGATCCTTGTAATCACCCAAAGAGATGAAGGCCAGCGGACATCGGTTATTATGAGCTCCATCTGGGGATTTGTAAATAAAATTTGTCAAGAGGATCTAGTAGGATCTAGTATTTATCTATTGTTGATGGCACTGTTTTAATTCAATTGAATTGAAAAGGAATCATAATTGATAATGACATGATTTTTTAAAGTTATTTTGATAAGTGCCCATGATTTCAAACAGCATGCCACAAATCTCTATTCATGTAACTAGAGCATATTTTAAATATACTTCTGTTTATTTTCTTTGTGTTTCAAAAAAGCGAACAAAATTACAAATAAATCAAGTAACAAATTAACTAACGTTGCATTTGTTACAAGCTCTCAGTTATAAGCCTAGTTGCGAGGCTTTCCCAACACAAGCATACATTTTCTCAACGGGAGAACCTGATCACCATTGCTGTACCAAATTGAGAAATACCTTTTTTAACCTACGCTTTTATAATAATATATTTGTTGTTAATCAAATTTGCTATTTAAGAACTAACAATGAATGAATTTATTTTATTTTCTTTCAATACGCTTTCTTTTAACGCACCCCGTTTCACGGGTGCCATGAATACATACAGACAACCACAAATTACACCCAAACTCACGAGAGAAATAAATGCAGGCCATACAAATATTTTTCCCGACTAAGGGACCAAACCTGGGACAATCAATCAGCATGGTAACCGTTCGGCCATAGATGCAGTTAACATACGCTGTAAATACCATCGCCTTAACTCTACATATTTATTGTTTATGATTATAAACTATTTTGTATCTGTTCTGATATAAAATGTAGAGTACATCATAGTGTATTCTACATTTTACCTTATTGTTCTTCTACCTTATAAGATAGAAAATCAATAATAAAAGTCCATGGCAATGAGGAGAATAAAAGCCTCTTCAGCCACAGACATAATTATATATCTAAATAGACGCCGCAAGTGTACCCACTTCGCGTGCTCAATGTAATATAAAAAACAAAGTTTTTTTTTATTAAAAAAATAAGTGCGCATTTGACTTTTTTTATACTATCAAGTGACGGAACGAACAAGTCGTGCACCTGATGGTAAGCTACACGCCTGTCCATAACTGTTGCAGTGCCTCTCAGAGCTTTAAATCGCAAAGATCAGAGGGGCACTGCCACTGCGCCCGTCATCCTGAGACATAAGTTGACAAGTCCCATGTGCCTGTAATTTCACCAGCACCCTTACCGTTCTAAACCAGTACACAGTAACTCTAACATCAGAAATAGGTAAGGTGGCAGTACTTCCTGGACGAACTCTTTCACAAGGGCCCTACTGCTGCTAAGACTTCCATCTCATCTGATGGAAAGTGACGATGAAGTCGACGATGGAGTATGCACACCTAAATAATGTCTATTCACTCTCGCCTTGCAAAGGTCAAAGTTTTAACGTTCAGGGAACAAATCAGCAGGCAGGGAATTCCACTCCATAGCCGTTCTCCATTGAATGTCGAAGCGAAACGCTTAGTTGCCACTGCTACGCTTCAGAACACGCCCGGCTGTGAGTAAATGAATGAACAGAGACGCTGCCTCCCATAGTTAAGTCATTTTGTAATCAGAATATGCATAATTCATTTTCAATCAATCATTTTGATTTTGTATGAATTTCGAGAAAACAAATATGCTAACGAGAGTGTGCTGCATGATACGTAATACATTGCAACTTCTACTTAGTGCCGTACATTTGTGGTCCTTCGCTAGTAGGCCGACAAGATAGTGATAGATAAAAACTGATAGTGGCGACAGCAGTAACATTTTCAATAAATGATGAATCGCCAATAGAAAAACGTTTTTCGAAGTTCTTGACTTCACTGATTAGAATTTAAAGTCATATTTTGTTGTCTATGGCAAGCAATGATCTGTTTATTACTGACTTCAAAAAAAGGAGGAGGTTCTCAATAGATTGTATATTTTTGTTCGTATGTTTAAGCGATTATTTCGAAACTTGTGAACTCGGTGATTCTCTTTTTGTTGGAAAGGGGGTAATTCAAATTTGAAGAAAATATTCCAGATCTTAGAGTGGCAAAGTAGGGGATGCATCCGGATATTTAATTCCACTTTCCGTTAACCGATTTCAATATAACTTGGCAAATAGATGTAATTCCATAAACTTTGGGATTGGTTTTTTTAAAGTATCATATTTTTTTTGGTTGTCATTAATTAAGTTGTAAATTCAACCATACTTTTATTTAAACAAACGGCCCCTTTCCCAGATTTAATATATCAATTTTACAAAAATAACTTTATTTTTTCAAAGTTTCGCCTTTGATTTTTTCTTTTCCACTTGTTTTTCTTTATTAATTTCCATTGTAGCTTTCAAGTTAAAAACTTGCATCTTGTACCCGTCCTCGTTGATCCTCTTGCAAACATCTTTTTGTGACATCGTTTGTAGCCATTGTTTTACTTTTGGGAACCTGGAAAAAGTTGATGTTATTTTTAGTAGCAATGATCTAACACACTAGGAAAACTAAGGAAAGAGTAATTGCTATTTCCGACATTGGCAATTGCAATAAACCTGCAATCTAACGGTTGTCTACAGTTGTCTACGGTTGTTTACGGTTATGTACCCCTTAGGTGTCAATATTGCCAATCTAATTACACAAAAAGATTATAGAGATTGAAGAGATTTTAGGATTCTTTTTGATAAATTAAATATTTAACCTGTGTTATAATTATTGATACAAATATCGAACACTCAGAAAAAATCCTTCGATCCGGCCGGATTCGAACCGACGTCTTCTAGCATACCGTGCCAGACGCTATACCAACTAAGCAACAGAACGTACCATCGGACCTCACGAATTTTTCTATGTGTTTGTTGTCGTTTCTTTTATTTGGTTTTTTCAACGACTTTACAATTACTTTATTATTTAAGTCAAGCATATTTGCCTAATGCTGAATAAATGGATGCTGATAAGCAATAACGTGTCAATCAACAGGATCGCAGTTTTGCGAAAATGGCACCTAATGATTTTTCGTTGTTTTTGATAGTTAGTACTAAAACTTGTTGTTAAAAGTTGTTGGGGAATTATAGTAATAAATAACAACAATTCATCATTCCTGAGGCGACTACAGCAAAGTTTTCATATTACATTAAATTTTAGAACAAACGTAACGAAACAATCTTTAGGTGTCATTTTAGCAAAACTATGATCATGTTGATTGACATGTTATTGCTTATCAGCATCCAAATATGACTAGCAATATCAACAATTCTTCAAGACATGCTAGTATGATCACCAATAAACGGCCCTTGTAGAAAGCGATACAGTGCAGTGGCGCAACTGCGACGGCGACTCGGCAGCCGCGCGTCTTTAGAGCTTTAGGCTCAATTTATATTGCGGTGGAACGGAATGGAAATGAATTTTTGTAACCATATTATATATAGTATAATGTATAATATGATAAATAAAATAAAACTAGATACGAGCCAAAACCCTCCGCGGAATGTGCGAGCATTCCCGAGCATGTGCTCGACTTCCTAAAAAGATAGAAAAAGTGCCTACCAAATTTTTCTATTGTTATTATGTGAAATGATAATAAAAAAACTATTTCATTGATCACTGAAATTTGCCATGTGGCACTTCTTTCCTGTAGCTTTATTATTCCAAGGGTATGAATTGATCTTATAATACCATGTTTATAGGAAATAAAACCTTTTCTCGTCGACTGGGTGCAAACCATCCAAGGTAGAAACCGTAGTAACAGCACAGATGTCTGCTACAGTCATTTCATGGTCAGCCAGGTACAACGTTTCTGATAAATATGCTTCCAGCGTTTTGTACGCATCGTCTATCATTAATTTATTGTATCTTAGGAGTTCTGTCATTCTTCCTGTGTATGTTGGAGCCTGGAAAGTCCAATAAACATCTTTAAAACAAAAGAAATATATCGAAAAAAATTACAAAAATAATTATATATAATTAATAAAGACTGCCTCCCATTTGTCGCAACTAATTATTTAGTTAATTAAGATAAAATGGAATATGTGTGTTTAGGGTTTACATTGATCGGCTTTAGGCTCAATGTACATTGTTGCGAAAATGGAAGCTTGAATTTAGTCTCGTTGCGAATTCGTAATAATGCACGCCTTGAGGTTGTTACAGATGTTCACTTGTGTAATCTACATCTTTTACACGACATGGGTGATGGATTTGGATGTTGTTTTTATTGATGAATTTATTTCTGATATGTTATTATTGTTTGTGAATCAGAAGAAGGAAAAAGGACGAAGAACAGAAAAAGGAAAGTGATATTTCGATTCATCCGTAGAACAAAGACCTATGTGCAAGATGCTGTTTGTTCTCGGGACATTGTACATTTCGTTCGTTGTTCTTGACTGCGGATAACTACAGTCAAGATCGACTGTTGTTCGATTTTATATTTCCGAAACGAAATAATAAATACACAAAAAATCTGAAAACACCTTTATATAGGCCTTTTGAAAAACGAGATTATGTTTTAACCTCTATTCACTGTATAATCACATCGCACTTTGTTCTTCGGAGTCGATTTGAGTGTGAGAGTGACACTTTGCAAAGATGTGTATGTCTGTTTCTTTGTCTTCTTATCATATTTATGGCATACACTATAACGCTTGCGATTGTGGTGAAAGGATTTGCCAATCGGTGTAAGGTACTCGCTCATTATTGCCCAGGATGAGCCAGACATACAGGAAAGGGATGGTACGTCGTGTGGAGTGGCTCCTTTCGTGCAAACACATAAACGAAAAAGTGGCAAAAACTAGTATTAGAACCATTAGAACACACGTTTACACTGGATAGAACCTTGCGTAAAGCAATGAAGTAACCTTTTTTTTAGTTTCTTCCCAAATGTTACTAAGAGCGATTACACACGGCAATAGCGATACAGTCGCTAATAGTCTCCCTTTACACACGCGCGTGATTGTAAGCAGCGATGCAAGCGCGCGTTTTACGAACGCGCGTTTGCATTGCTGCTAAAAGCCACCGTGTCTAACCACTCTGAGATCTATTTTGATTTTAAGGCAGTTTCAAGTAAAAGCCTAAGAACACTCTTTTTTACGAGATCTTGTGCCATCATCGTCGTTACGCTATAAATAATCTTTAAAATAATCACACTTTGCTTACCATAACATCTCGTAATCTAGGAAACAAAATACCACAGTCAAAGAACAATCTCTGATTGATTGTCGCGCGTTTTCTCTCGTCCTTAGGGTACAAGTATTCATGTTCTTTTTTTCCATATTTCTCTAGGAAGTAGATTGCTATTGCGTGGCTGAAATTAGTTTTAACATTGTAACGTATATAATTACAATTTATGATATTAGACAACTAGCCAATACCAATGTGGAAAAGAATATGAGAACAGGCTTACTAGCCAGGGATGCCGTTTGGATATTTCGTAAGCTGCATTTCACTAATATTTATAATATATTTATTAATGTAACGTAACGAGGCATCGTCCAACGTCCCTTTACAAAAAAACTTAGTGGAGATAATTTTTGTTAGGCGATTATTACACTTCTCCACGCCACGCAACGGTGTGCGGAGCTGCGTTTTTTAACGTGGTACCGAAGTACCTCGGTTTATATAGAGAACACGCGCCGTATAACGCACTGACAACGTGTCTCCACGCGGGAGTGCGGGGCGCATGATCCGTCTCGTCCCGCGCACTCCGTTGCGTGGTGTGGGGCAGTGCAATAATCGTCTTACATCTAAGAGGTTAGACTTTAGGAACCGTTTGGTACAGAGTCAAGAGCACGTCAAGCTTGACACTTTGTACTTCGGACCGTTCTTATCGTAAGCGGCATAAAGTTGGATTTGAGTCTTAAGTGCCAAGCTTGACGTGCTCGTGACTCTGTACCAAACGGTTCCTAAAGTCTAACCTCTTAGATCAGCAAAAAATCCAACATACCAACATAAATAAATATCTCTGGAGTTACATGAGATTATAAGTTTTGGAAATGAAACAAGAGTGAGAAACACTTTTAAACTTCAAACTGACATAACTCAGATGTGACTGGATGTGCATTGGATCCTTTTTGTTTAACTACGTCCATTTGAAATGTAGTTAATTGTTTCTATTTTGTGTTTTATTCTAAGTTTCGTTATTAATTTATACTATTATTACTAAGGCCAGAACTGCAAGCGACTTTTCAGGCGAGAGGTTTTCAATATTCTATGAAGAAAATTAGTCAATGGCTTTTTTAAGTAGAGTCATAACATTTCACATTATGTACAATTTATAACTCGTTTCCTTTAATTCGTATTATTTTTATGACTTTCATGTGATAAAAGCATTTTTGACGTATAATCACATGTTACTGTATTATAACAAGTGTACGATTTATTCAGGAGTAAGATTTTTTTTTTATCATTTTGTCACGTGTACATCAAACTAAGTAAGCCAAAAGAAATATTTTTCTTTATTTACTTTTAGATGTAACTATTTAATATGAAGAAAGTTGCTTGTAATAATTAGCAAACTCGTGGACAGTTTGGTGAAAAATTACGTGTTTTTGAAACGACACACGATCAAAACACTATCCTAGTCAGATATAAGTTTCAGTTTATATTAAAAAATGCTGTGTGCAATTAGTGTTATTGAAAACAGTGCTTGCAGGACTGTTGGCAATAGCTGCCTTTATACGGTCACTCAATCGCGCGTGATCAGGAGCAAAGCCTGCACGCGCAATCGTGCGCGATTTACTTTACTTGTTTGAACTTTTTTAAGCTAAACCTTCTTTCGCGCTCGAGTGCTCGTGTTCGTTGTAACGAGTGTTCTCGTACCTCTCGTTGTAACGAGAGTGCTCGTGTAAAGGCTAATCGCGCGGTCTTTCCCTTTTCCTTCCAACGTGTGTAAAGCTCGGCATTGAATGCTGAAATTATGTCGCGATTATTAACGTTTACATCGATATTTCTGATATTGACAGAAAGATTACTTATATAAAACTACATGTCACGGGTCCAAATCCTTTACATAAGACTACTACTACTAAGACTACTTTACATTTAAGAATAATTAAAGTAAAAAATGTACGAACCTGTCCGCTAAACAAAAATCACCGTCTTCTAATATAGGAATAGTTCTCATAGGATTTTTCTGGAAATATAAAATTGTATGATTAATTAATTACAACTTTCTTCAGAAATTCATAAGTTCAATGCAAATAAACTGGGAGATTTTTTAAAATAATATCAAGTGACGGGAAAAACAAGTCGTGCGCCTGATGGTAAGCTACACGCCTGTCCATAACAATTGAAGTGCCACTCAGAGCTTAAATCGCAAAGATCTGAGGACACTGGCACTGGCCCGTCACTCCGAGACATAAGTTGACAAGTCCCATGTGCCTGTAATTTTACCAGCACCCTTACCTAAAACCGGAACACAGTAATGCTAACATTACTGCTTGGCGGCAGAAATAGGTCAGGTGGCAGTACCTGGACGAACTCTTTCACAAGGAGCTCTACTGCTTACAAAATGCTTTTTGTACAATCTATTGTACCATTTTTTAAATAATTTTAAAGTACCTACTCTTGAACGTATATGCTTTGAAGAATACAAAATCAACATGAGACTTAACTCCAGTCAGTAGACCTGGTGTTGGTCTTAATAAATAAATAAATAAACTATCATATTGGATTTTAGAACAACGCAACAGAGTAAGTATTTTTTGAGTAGGTATAGAATATTTACACCGACATAGTGAAGGCTAACCAAATGACGAAAAATTTACATTACAATATTTTAAAATATTTTTACGATTATATTGGTTAGGCGTACATGCTAAACCCGCGCATAATATTAATAATCGATACTAGTTAGCGTATGTCATGGGTACAGGGTATGACCCGCTTGAAGGAGCGCCTCACCACCTACGCTGCTTCATTCCTTTTTTGTTAAGTTTTTCCATTTTCTGTATATTTTGTTGTTCAAAATCAGCTAACTTCCCAAGATTTTTTGTTTTTTTTTACACTAGATCGCATTATTTTATGTGAGTACCTAAAAAAGTACTTACTTCAAAATGTATCATTGACAAAGTAATTATTCGTGTTCTAACAAACAATTCACTTTGTTGTTAAAAGAAACTGTGGATTTGATACCGATAGTAATAACGCACACACTCAACGTAGCCCCGCATTAGGGAAACCCTGTGTCGCGGGTGCCATGGACACACATAGACAACCACAAATTACACCCAAACTCACGAGAAAAATAAATGTAGGCCATACAAATATTTCTCCCGGCCCGGGAATAGAACCTGGGACCTCAGCGTGGCAGTCCGGCATGGTAACCGTTCGGCCACAGAGGCAGTTACGTGACATATTAGAGAACGTCTATCAATATGGTTTTGATTTGAAACCAAATGAAAGAAAATACTCAACGCCCACATCTCAGTTTGACGTAACAATCTTGTTCAAGTTCAAATCTTGGTTGGTCTTGTTATAATTAGGTGGTTTTGGTCGTGCAAAAGTGCGAGAAAAAGACCAACCAAGGCCGATTTTGGATGACACCAATGCTTTGTAAATTCTGATTAAATTGAAACTGAATGAACAAATTTCCAGTCCCCCTACTTTTATGTACATCACATGACATTTTGTTTATAGTTTGTTAAGTTGTGCACTAATCTTTTATCTGCCCACTAAATATGATACCTTAAAATATTCCGGCTGGTCCTGTTCTCTCAACAGCGGGTGCAAGTCTCTTAACTCGAGCTCCAAACCGATTAGATCAGCCACCATCATTGCTGTACGTGCTGGAGGGCTAGCGTCCATCTTGTATAGAATACGCGCCATTTTGTTTTATTTCTGGAATTGATTGACTACTGTTTATAAATAGCTTAGGAGTTTTAAATCATAATAATAATTATTTGTCATGAAAGGCTGCAATGTTGTTGTTTGACGCGAGTGCTTGTATTGAAACCTGAGCAAGCGAAGGAAGCTAAGATTTGAAAATAGATTCCTGAGCGTAGCGATGGTTTCAAGCCACGAGGCGTTGCTGCCGAGCGAAACATACAACTTTTCACCTCACTATAGCTAGGAAAATGGCAGACGAAAGAAAAACAGTTGAACTAAAAAAATCAGTTTTTTTAAAAGAAAAAGTTTATCTTCGGATGCATTCTGAATTTACATCTTATCAATTTTTATTCTTGTTTGTATTTTTATTTAGTGTGATTCAGGGATTATTGAAATTATTTTATTTCTTTGATGTATTAATAAATTTAATAAACACAACTGTTATCATTGTCAATTTAATGTCAACCATAATAAGAATAAAATATACTAACGGATTTATATTACATAAATAATAAAACAACAAATCGCGTAGTTGAACGTGCCATTATCTTTTTTTTTCATCGAAACAAAAAGTTAGGTGCACCACAGTCTATCGTCAAGTACGAATTTCAAAACCATTTTGCAAAAAACGCTTTTGCACGCATATTTCTAATGAGAAAGAAGGCCTTTCCGAGGTAGAGAGGTGAAATAATAATTTCTTTGTATAAGAAGTAAGATTAAGTGAGTTTACGTTAAAGATCAAATTGGCTTGAAAAGTTTCTTAAAATATCATTCACTAGCATTGGATTATAGACTTATTAGATCAAATTGGCTTGAAAAGTTTCTTAACATGTCATTCACCTGCATTGGATTATAGATTTAGATATAATATTTTGATTTAATTAATAAATCTCTAATTATGTTTACTTAATTGTTTATATCCTTTACTAATTATTATATAAATTTCACATAATATTATGTACGTACAATACGCTTATTAATAGCATTAATCTCTGGCATTATTCCTATGTATTTTGTCATCTACTATCTCAGGGTAAAAGACCTGTGGTGAGGCAACTTGCTTGTGGGAGAAAGTACGTATGAAGTTTTCGCATTAAGGTGGTTTTCAACCGACGAGAAGGTACTAGAGTTGAAATTTTGCCGACCTACTTCCACTATAAATTACCATTAGTAGCTCGCGCGAGTCATCGCAAACTCGCGATGTGATTGTGGGGAAACATGCGGCAAAAACGTAAGTAACATGTCCCGTAAATTATTATTATTAAATATGTTAGCGGAAGAAGAATCAGATGAAGCCATCTTTTTTTAAATCTCAAATCATACCTACGTATCCTACAATCTCGCGGTTTATGTTAATAGCCATCGCGGACTCGCGCGAGAAATCGTGTTTCCATTGTAGACATAATACCGACCCAACCGACCCAATATTATTTATTCACCAAAAAACTAAAGGCACATTTAATAGAAAAATGTTACTACAGCTTGAAGCAGTTTTTTGAAGAATAACTACCAACCTACTCCATTTCGTACCATTCTGCAACAAAAGTATCATGTTATGTTATTATTATCATTATCATTGTTTAATTTATTAACAAAAGCTTGTTTTAAAAATACTTTATTATTGTGTTCTTTTATTTTTATTTTTTAAATTTTAATTATTGTATATTTTTTAATTGCGGCGCCCTAACAGGGTCATGTTTATACTATTTTAATTTTAAGAACATTATGTAACACATGAAAGCAATAAATATTTTGACTTTTGAAATCTACAAAACTTGGAATAAATATGAAAGTTGATAAACCAATGCTTAAATTGGTAATATTCTTACCGCAATTGCGTGTCTTTTGCATTGCAAGTACTGGTTTCAGACATACCTAAGTTTAGTGCAAGTGGACATTATTCTTTAGTTTTAAAGGCACTCTACGTTCATGCACGTTCTAATTTTGTAGACGCCAGGCGTTTGAAGTGGAGAGACGCCCTTCGGGGTACCCACATGTTGATTACCTTTATGCCCGGAGTGTAGGTATATTGTCGGCATAGTATTGACGTAAAACTTGGCCCAACGTGTCGGTCACTCCTTTGACATAGGGCATGGAGGCTGGACGTCTATGCACTTTCGGATGCCTATATCTCCTTTTTGGCTCTTTTCGTCGTCGGTTCATTCGATATTCGTTTTGTCTAAGCACTACCTGAATATGATCTAGCTCCTGCTCGAGATGCTCATAGTAACGAAGGTCGTAAGCTCTGTTTATAACGTCATCATTACGGATTGCAAGTGACGTGTGTGGTGATGAGACGGTAGGTATTTATCTGTGTGTATTGGTTTGCAGTAAACACAATGCGTTAAAGACATATCGGATTTCACGGTCATATTGACATCCAAGAAAGGCAACGACCTGTCCGCCTTCATCTCATACGTAATCCTTATGTTAGAGATGATTAATGAAATAGGTCTAAACAATTAGAATCCTTAATTGGTTCTAAAATAGGACCTACAAGTTGAACTTTCCAAATTTATTAATTTTTAATTTTATTTTATTTTTTCACGCACACACTCAACATAGGCCCGCACTACGGAAACCCTGTGTCGCGGGTGCCATGGACACACACATACACAATCACAAATTACACCCAAACTCACGAGAGAAATAAATGTAAGCCATACAAATATTTCTCTTGGCCCGGGAATCAAACTTAGGACCTCTGCGTGGCAGTCCGGCAAGGTAACCGTTCGGCCTCGGAGGTAGATAAGTAAAAATCAAAGATGGGTGGAATGACTTTGTAAGACTATAGGATATCATAAATACTTAAAATGACTATTTTAAATAGGTAAATTTTGAATAACAGAATATTTATAAATATTATAAAGTCAGGGCCAGACGGTGTGTTAATTTTCTTATCTAAAGAGGCTTAAGATTTATGGATCATTCAATTCAAAAATATCCGAAATCAATTGAGCAGAATGTGAATTTTTGAAAGTATTTAGATCAAAATTGAAGTCTGCAGAGTTTGAAAACGTTATTGCTTTTTTGTGATACCACGTGTCGGGACGAACCAAGTCGTATGCCTGATGGTAAGCCACACGCTTGTCCATAACAGTTGCAGAGCCGTTCAGAGTTTTAATGTACTTAATAAAAAGATAAAAAGAGCGACTGGAAAGAAACGCGAACATCGCTACAAATGTTCATCTGCTTAAAAAGGTAACAAATGATTATGAAACTTAAAACGTAAAATACTTAAACTAAAAATTAATTCGTGTAAAAACTGTAACTTCAAAAACCCGCCATTTTTTCTTCTCAAAACTGATTTTATTATTTATTTGTTGATATTGACTTGTAGACATTGGCTATAGAGCCATCAGCTAAAACAAGCAACAAACAATTAAGAAACTCAAAACGTAATAATACTTAAACTAAAAACTAATTGTGCAAAAACTGAAACTCCAAAAACACGCCATTTTTTATTCTCTCAAAACTGACTGTTCTCATATTTTGTTATATATTTTGTTTATAAAATAACACTTTAAAGACAGATAATGCTCTATTGTATTGTATAAAGCTATCTCTGTCTTTCGTCCCAATGTTTGCTTAAACCAGCATTATTATCATCAATCAGAGGAGTTTTATTTGTTACATTTTTTATACGAATTAATTTTTAGTTTATGTATATTACGTTGTATGTACATACGTTGTGCGTTTCTTGATTATTTGTCACCATTAAGTTGATGGCTCTGAAGCCAATGCTTTTTATATAATTAAATAATCATCATTCAGTACGAAACTTTCAGAGTTTTCGATAGGTTTTTCTTCATTGCTAGCACTTCGCCGGTGCAGAAATTGGGTCTTGTTTATCTTATCTTTATTGTATTGTTATGAGGGGCATATTTATCACGGACTATTGAAAATCAGCAGTGTACTTTGGAATTTTGTATTATTGCCATGTATATTTTACAGGCTCAGTAAGAGTTATAGAAAACATGAAAAAAACATTCACAAAGTTTTATTTGAAATCAAGTAAAAATATAATAGTTATGTATAATAAAATTCAATAAATTGCTGATTTACCTATAACTTTCTCAACAGTTACTTTGTGGCTGATTAAGGTGATCTAAATAAGTACCTATACAGAACCTATTGTTATTATTCTACAAAACTCATGCTAGCCATATTATCAAAACAAATAAAAAGTACTAACCTTTCCTCCAAAAAGTTTACAGTTATTTGTTATCACTTTAATTACCTCTCTACATTTTTAGGTTAGAATAACACAATCTTATTTACTAATTCGCTCGGTTGTCGAGTAGTGGGGAGGTCCAGTTATCTCTACGTCATGTGTCAACCTTCGCTACTTTGCAATGTAATATTTAATGTGTCATCTAGATGGCAGCACTTTAGATTTCTTTTGTAGAAACTTTAAAGGTTAGATTCAAAGACTATGGCTGTGTTCCAAACAAAATACTATCAATAGTGTTTTGTTTTAGTGTTGAATATTGTCAAAGAGTACAGTACCGTAGTAAAGTGGACAGATGCGGCTGTCTATACGGGGATTGTTGCTGATGCAGGTTTTTTACACATCAACAGATGCTGGTTTTACGTATTTAAAAAAACGCGAAAAATGTATACATTCTTACGGAACCTATCTACATGAAAAAGCTTTATATTTTCTTTGGAATAGTAATAAAATATTATTATAAATAATTATTACAATTTTGTGATATTTATTAACAAAAGAATCAATCTTTCTTGGCTTATAGTCTATTTCTGGAAGGTTTGTAAATCATTCCAGCGTGCTTTTTAGGTCGTCACTACTGAAATATGCGCAATATCAGCATCAATGGATGCGGATGCTGAGGCGGATGCGCGGATGCTGATATTTACAATAACCCCGGTCTATGCTTGTTGGGAATGACCTAGGCAGGCAGATGACATTAATACCAATTATATATTTATCTACAATTGCACATTTAACGGAAAGTTTCTGACAAAGTCGTTATTAGTTGCACAGTACATTTTATTTTGCAATATGTGGTGTTTGATTAATTATCTCACCATTGCCTATTATTAAAAAATACATAAATTAATTAAAAACAACAATATTGTTTACTAAATAAATGTAAATAATTTGAAACTTTAAATTTACTTTCAAATAGCGAAATGTGATCAACACACATTAAATTATTTCCAAAGAGGTCCTCTTTGCATCTGCGTCCAACTCTTTCTCATGATGTCAAGTGACAGGAAGAACAAATCGTGAGTCTGGTGTTAATCTTGTGAAAAAGTGTGTCTGGTGTTAAACGACACGCCTGTCCATAGCACTTGCAGTACCACTCAGACTTTAAATCGCAAAAATCTGAGAAACACTACCACTGCGCCTATCACCCTGAGACTTAAGGCGACAGTTAAAAAGTCAAAAAATAAAAATAAATTTACACTTAAAAACGTCATATTTAAGTTACTGCTCGTTCACTACGCTGACTTCCCTTAAAAGAACGAGCTTCAAACTCTTGGGATTGCTCTTTGTAAATAAATTTGTAACCCTAACTAGCCGTGAACAGGTTCACGGCAATGAAATGGGAAACTTCCGGTCCACAAAATTTATTAAAGAAGTAAAGTTTAAAGAAAGGCTGTAACAATATAAAGGTAAATGTAAAAAAACAGGTATAACAGTATAAAACACTCCCTACACTTTATTATTAAGGCACTTACCCCTAAATGGGCCGAGAAACTGAATTACAGAAATAGATACATGAAGGCTGTAGGCTTATAAATTATTACACATGATTTGGCTTATTAAATGATTACAAACGTAGTAAAGAACCAGAATTAGCGATTATTCGCGATGGAATTTGGAACAGCTCCGACTGTTGTGGCGGTCGAGCTGGGAGTGACCGTGGTACGAAAACAAAATGAGAAAGTGAAGGAAGATGGAACAATTCAAATTTAAATACATGTAAAAAAAAAATGATAGGATACAAGCGGAGAGAGGCGATACAAAGAGGTGAGATGACGGTGTAAGGAGGTCACACCGTTTGAATCAAATTTGTGTGGAATCTAGAGCCATGTCGTGTTTCCATACATCTTTATCTAACACCTAGTCTTCAATTTAGTTTAGCTTAGTTTAGTTTTTAAACTTAGGAAATGCTAATCTTAATATATGCTCCGGAATCTTATTGTGAAAACGTATGCAGTTCCCCATAAAAGAGTAGTGTACCTTGGTTAAACGAAATCATGGTACCATGAGTTTGGACTTAGCTCTAAGGTTAATGTCATGGATATCTTCCTTCTTATTGAAATTATGTATATTTTTACGGGCATATAAAATATTTGAGTAAATGTACTTTGATGCCAGATTTATGATACCAGTATACTTAAATTTTTCTCTGAGAGAAACCCGAGAACCTAAACAAGTCCCATGTGCCTGTAATTTCACCAAAACCCTTACCTTTCAAAACAGAAAAGCAGTGATGCTCACATTACTGCTTGGTGGTAGAAATAGGAAAAGTGGCAGTACTTCCCTGGACGAACTCTTTCAAAAGGAGCTCTACTATTACTTTTCAACGTTTTCTTTAATGGACATACCCATTACATCATCAATGCGTATAAAATTTCTTTATTTTAGTGTTAATTTTCTTCGTGACACACTCAATACTTTTATACCCAAGCTTACATTAAGTAAAATAATACAAATTTATTGTTAGTAAAAATGTTTTACTAATATTATTTCGGTATCGCCTGCGATGCGGTGCGAAGTATGGAGCTGCTGCTCATTTTTTACTAAAGAATCCAAGTTCGCGGAAAATGACGATAGTTTTACCCTGAGGTCTGGTTCCACTTCAACAAGGCGGAATATTGCGACCGATATTTTATTTTGATGGACCGGTACCGGGTCGCGACTCACCAACTTTTAATGGATAATTAATTTTTTAATTTAATAGAATGTTTTTGGAAAAAAATGTAACTTAATTTTTATTTGACGTTGTATATCGACAATATTTTTAAATCACAATCTATTGATTCAACAGTCGATAACAACTACACGATTAAATGTTCCAAAAAATGGCAACATCGAAAATGTTGTTTTATTCTATCTTGCATAAAATTGTGTGGATGCAAATGGTAGAAAAATGGCGAGTTTTTGCTTAAAATAGTTACAGTTTTTACAAGAATTAATTTTTACTTCAAGTACATTAATTGCGTTTTACGTTAAATTATTTGTCACCTTTTTAAGCTGATGGTTCTCTAGTCAACACTCAATGAATAAAATAAATAATAAAGTATGACTTCAATCATCTTCAACTCAACAACCAACTTATTTTTATTATTAGACTAATAGTTTGTTCCTAAAGTCCTGTAGTAAATTAATATTTTGTCATTCATTATAGGACAATAGCGAACTCCCACATCTTTTTTTGTTGACATAATTTGTATATGTCTATTTATGAAAAATATGTGAAAATACAGAGTTTAAATAAACTTGCTATTCCTGAATAAATTCGGTTTTGGGGAACTCAAGATTGAAGTTTTGGAGGTTATTTTTACATAATTGAGTAAAATATATTCGGTGTATTATTTTATTAAGGGCATTTCTCCTACGCCGCAACTTTGCACAAAAATTTTGTGCACGGACACTGGTTCATGCACTAAATATGATTTGCTTCATACGACTTAGACAGGCCTTTAGAATAATTTGAAAATCTAATAAATTTCAAACTCATCATTCAAACTTGTAATTACGACGTTTGAAGACACTAAAGAATTCTTTTAACAATAATTTCGCTATTGTTTTTTCTACATTTGATGAAAGAATTATGATGAGTTTGTCACGCATAGGTACGCACTTGGAATTAACTGTTATATTTCACATACATACCAAATGTTCTTCCACTGCTTTGATAATGTAATTTGTTTGTGTATATATTTTGTGTACAAGTCGACAAACAACCAGATGTTCCACGTAACGGAAACTTTAATCGCCGCTTGTCGACTTTCGAGCTGTCGAATACAATTCCATCTGACTCTACTTCCTGGTTTGTAATACTTATTGTAACAAGGAAGTCGAAGTAGCTAGTATTAATTTCTTGTTTCTATTTACAATTTCTAAGTCCTTGTGCAGTATAATAGTTACAAGCGCCTCAAATAGACGTATCTACATGATATACTCCGGCCAACCATTTCTTTAACTTTTGACATATGCATGCCTCCGAAGTTCCTTAATTATTGACATACAACCTAGATAAAAAAATGCAATACTTCCTAAACTCTTTTATTTTTAATTTTAGTTAAGTGACGTGCTCTTTGGCTCCGATATTTATTGAGCCAACAGATTATGTATGGAAGATTATTCAAGTTGATTAATTTTGGTACCTATCTAATAAATTTTTAATAATTATAATACATTTTTATTTTTTATTACAATGAGTCATCGGATTCTTCTCCACATAAGCGGAAATCATTATCACTTGAATCCTCATTAACATTAATAATTAATTCTTGAGTACACAAATTGTCAAACGCAACATCACGATCCCAATCAGAAAAAATATGTTCTTTTTTGAAACCGCTCACATTCACGATTTAAACTTATTCATAAACAAAATCGACTCTTATAAAAAATCGAATCGGAAACGCATTTGGACATCACTAAGTGATTGGAATTCAAGCTGTCAAAATTTAATAAATGGTTGGACCTCGGATTATGGAAACCTTCCTTTATTTTTTCCATCCTCTAAGGGTTTGTATTATTTTATAACATGGATGCTTAGATAATGGAAAATGTCATATATTGTTTTTTTATTGCTTTTTACGGCTCGGGGTACTTTGTCTTGTTGAGCTAATCATCAAAATGATCACAAATTTAACAACAAAATTATTACACTTAAAATGTAAAAGGAAAACACTTAAGTTTCGTTCACTGCGTAAATGTAACGTTACATATTGCTCTATATAAGTTTTTCTTTCAAAGTAATAATTGCACGTTTTTTGGAACATCACTGTCATTGCCATCATCATAACGGTCCTTTATTTCTGCCCACAAGTATCAGATGGTTAAAATGGCGTTGAACATCGTTGAAAGTAATATGTTGTAAGTGGATTGTTTCTTCGGTACAACGTGGACATTTATCATTTTGGAGGTTTCCCAATCTTTCAGGTGAGCGGAAATTCTGCAGTGGCCAAATCTCATTCTATTGATGGCAGTGCTATATCGATGTTGCTTCAGAGTTACTTTTAAATACCTCAAATCTCATAATTCAAAATTTCTATGTACAATAATACCTTTATTTTACTTACCACAAAAATTCATATTTGCATAACAACAACAACAACAAATAATTATAACTTACTACTTACTAACCGACTTCAAAAGTTTGCTAATTCGTTTTCACTGTGTTTTATTTTCATTAGAATTACATCTGCCATATTACACGTGTCAAGTTTCATTAAAATCTTTTAACGGAAAACTGGGTAAAATTCAATAAGCCGAATTCCCAATCCAAATCTGCCCCCAAACACCCTATGTTTTCTTCAAATTTGAATGGGATCACTACGGGGGTACCGCCTTTTTATTAAAAAATAATATCGAAATTAGTTCACAAATGTCAAAGTTATCGAGTGACATACACACAAAAAAAAAATACAGACGAATCATTCGTTTTGCTGGAAGTCTAATAAAAATAAAATATTCCTCAAGTGAATTAAAAAGTATTTAATGAATTTGTTATTGAATGTCAGAATGTTGCACCACCATGACATTAAATTATTTTTTGTGAAATTACTCCACTGGTTTGATTATAATTTGGTTATAATTATTAATACAAAGATCGAATACTTAGAAAAAAATCTTTTCTAAGTGTTTTCTAGAAAAATTCGTGAGATCCGCTAGTGCGTTCCGAGGCTTAGTTGGCATTGCGTCTGATACGGTTTGCCAGGAGACGTCGATTCGAATCCGGCCGGATCGAAGGAATTTTTTCTAGGTGTTCGATCTTTGTATTAATAATTATAACAAACTAGTGTTTAATGAAACTAAGTAAATAATTTATTTCCTCATATTTAGTGGCATTGCACTAAGTTGGTAACACCGTACTAATAGCAACAAAAATTATTCGCGGTATGTAGCACCGCATAGTGTTGTATGCATGCTGCACAAAGCGTTAAAAATAAAAACAATGAAATCAAAACTTCCAAAATACATATTGTGTCTTAGCAGTTTTTATTTAATAATATATAAAAAAGCTTTCATTTTATAATATCTGTACGTTTAGTATCAATTATTAAACACATGACGAGTGTTTAAAGTACCTACTCTTATTTGAGGCGTTACGTAAACAAAACAGGTATTTTCGTTTTATCCTTGTATTCTTGCTTTAGCTTTATTACATTTCATAATTAATAAGGAACATTCGTAAATAAATAAGAAACAGATTCTGCATAATGCGTGCGCCTGATTGCTTCAGCTAACATCACAGATATATCTATAGTTTGTAGCTTAGGGCATATTTTCTTGCGGTTTTCCTGAGGAATTGTATTTGTGACTACCAGAGCTTCTAGACTGGATTTATTAATTTTCTCAATTGCATCCCCTGCGAGCACACCATGTGTTGTAATAGCGTATATCTTCGATGCTCCAGCTTCTCGCAGTTTCTCAGCGCCTTTTACAATAGTATCACAAGTATCAGCCAAGTCATCTACCATGATTGCTGTTCTGTTCTTTACGTCACCAATGAGCACTGTAGAATCATCTCCTTCCGTAGCCCTTTGTCTCTCTTTGTGAATTATAGCAAAGTCTATATCTAGCCTATCGGCTATTGCTGTCATCCTCTTCACACCTCCTGCGTCAGGGGATACCATGACACTGCTCTCCCATTCTGGAATATTCTCTTTGATCCATTTGGTGACAGCCGGTTCAGCGTAAAGATTATCAACAGGGATGTTAAAGAATCCTTGAATTTGCGACGCGTGAAGGTCAATAGTGATCACATGGTCAGCGCCAGCAACAGAAATAAGATTAGCAAGTAACTTAGCTGTTATTGGTGCACGGCTCTTTTCCTTCTTATCTTGTCTGGAGTACGGGAAGGCTGGAATGACAGCGGTGACTCTTGAAGCTGACGCAATTTTACACGCATTGATCATTATAAAGAGTTCCATGAGGTTATCGTTGATTTCACCACAACCGCTCTGAACGATGTAAACATCTTCGCCTCTGACGGATTCTCCAATCTCGACGTTGGTTTCCTTATTACTGAATTTTTTGGTTGTAGCTTTGCTGAGATGCAGACCAAGCCTCGACGTAATCTGCTTGGCGATTTCAGGATGAGAACTGCCAGAAAAGACTTTGATATTCGGCATTCTGGCGTTTGGGTTACTGAAGTGTTGTTCCCGTTTTTGCTCTGTCGATTCTTTTATATTTTCCGAGATATCAGATATCATCAGTTCAGCGTTAGTGAAGTAAGTCTTCACTGTCTGATGGTTGGTGGAAAAATGAGTCCATATTTGCTTTAACTACAGATTTATCTAGGGTCAGGTGCCTATCTTTGCCCCCAGCAATGGAAGCATTTAGTTCGTTATCAATATACACAAGATGATATAAATAGTACACAAGCAAATAATTATACGGAGTATAATGATTGGCTTGTTCAAATGACGTTATTGTTTATATTATATATATATTTGTATATATATGTTGTTTCTCAGTTAATAGACTTTAATAAGTATTTATTAAGGGCCCGAAACGTCGGTTTGTTTGAAAAAACAAATATACGCGATTTAAATCCGGAAAAATAGTTTCATCTCCTATGTGTAACAATCGCGAAAACCTAAGACCTCGATAAGTATTTATTACTCTAGCTGTCAGTATTATATGAAGTACTAGTATATAATGTACTTAATTATTTTTGTTTCTCGCAACTTTTAGTTTATGTATAAAAAATACTTAGAAATTATTTTTATTTTGCTGAAATGTGTATATCACAACTTTGTGACTTAAAATTACATCTGTAAAGAAATTTTGTTTATTAGTTTTATTAAAGTTTCATTTTTGCAAAAATAAAAACATGCGATGATTTCCAGATATCATTGAATAGACTTATTAGTTTATTCAATGATATCTGGAAATCATTGTAGTGATAAGTAAAACATTCTCAAATGAAAATATTGAGGAGTCTTGTCCTTTATAAATATTTCACATTCACATATTTTAAGTATGTTCTTTCTTCTTTAGGTACGTTTATAAATAAATTATTCAGGGACCACGCAATAATAGGTCTTAAAACCTCATTTATAAAATGAGAAAAAAGTTGTATATTTTATTTCTGTATCACTTCTCTAAAGCCTCAGTTTATTCAATTTCATTTTTTAATAAGCACAATTTGTCTCATGACAAATTTTTTGTTATAGTCAATATTTTAAAAATTGATTAGTTTAAACGAATTTTATTGTACTGTAAGACTGTAACACTAACTTTTAAGGCTCACCACACAACACTGACTGCTAAAATCAAAAACAAGACGCATTTTCTTAGTTTAAAAATAACTTGTTGTTGCTAAGAAACGTTATAAACATGGAAATGTGACGAAATTAAGAAGTCTATTGGTTTAGTATTTTTCTCTAAGTAGAGATATCTGTTACAATTTAGCATTTAAGTTTTTAACGATTTTTAAGTAAATAACAAGAAAATGCACGGTGGTATTGATCGATTAAACGGTAATCGGAAATACAAAGGTGAAGGTCGTTGTGTATCACGCTACTGAATATAACCATTGTGTAAAACAAAACTTAACGCGACAGTTGCCTTTTAATGCAGAAACTACAATTGTTAAATTGAGAATTTCTTCGGCTGAACGTCGAACAATCGGCAACTCCTGAGGATGCCTTGTAGAGAGGCGAAACGTGTCGGTTATATTTTTGGCAATCGCCAGTTGTGCAATGCACAACGGGAGGTGAGCGAGCCAACAGCTCCGGTAGCTATCTGGGCAATAGAGAGGGTACGTGCACCCTCGGCGCGAGCCTTTGAAGAGGCGTATGAAGTCTGTGTCAACGTTATTATTATATATTCGGCGTTATTAATTATGGGCTGTATTTGCTCTGTTGGTGCTGCGGTATGACGCCATAACTCTTGCGGCACCGCAGCAGCAAAAAATACCGACGCCACGGCGCCATGTATAATCAGCCTTAGTAGAATGTGTATGGAACTGTAGTTGCGCTCGTGTATTTATTTTATTAATTTTATGCGGAAGGAAAGTGGGAAATTTAAATGCATATCGAACCCGGGACCTCAGAGATGGCGACGCCATGAAAGTCGGTGAGCAAGCTACTCGACTCAGAGGTCGTCAAAATGAATCCAATCTAATATTAAAAATGCGAAAGCAACTCTGTTTAAGAGTCGATAATACCTTAGCTCGAATTCAAACTTTTCCCGCACTAATACGGTTCATTTTGCTTGGATCGAGCGGCCGGAACACTGGCTTTATTTCTGAATTTATTTTTTTACAAACGAAATTGAAGCCATTTGAAAAATGTATATCGTATAGTATACGTGTTCTATTTAGTTCAGTTGATATATGAATTATTTTGCCAATCTTTCTACACATGCAGCTTTAATTAAACACAGAAAGCGTATCGCGCCCTGTGCGTTCAGTATAATGACGCTGTCAGAATCCTGTTGGAGTTGCCACGCTACTGTAGCGCTTCGGGAATGTTTACCGTGGCGCTAGATGATGGCTTTAAGGTCGATACACAAAACTGTGATGCGCCGCATCGCAGAAATCTACGAGCTCGCATGACGCATCGCAAGAATTTGCGAATTGCTCCGCATCGCACTATCCTGCGTTGTTAAACTTCTTTGTGTTTTTTATCCTATACTTTCTTATCAATAACAGCAGTGCAACACTCTACATACGATCCATGTCGATACCTATTTAAAAATACGTTCAGTACGGTTGATGATCGTCTAAAGAATGGTTACCCGAACCGTGGCAGTGAGATGATTTGCCACACGAAATCGCATCGCAGCAATAAGCGTCGCAATTTTCTGCTTTGCGAATTCGCATCTCGCCGGTTCGCAGTTTTGTGTTTCGACCCTTAGTGCCATTTTGCTTAGCGGGTAGCGTCCCTAATGCGTAGGTTGCGGGGCAGCGCCAATAGCCTTCTTTGTACAGTGGTCGATGGAACGATGGGCTCATATTATATCATTGGGTACGGGTACACGTCAATTGTTAGAGGATTTATATTAACATAGTTTCTAACAATTTTGTTACTTATTTGAACACAATATGGATATTTTGTTTGGAATAAAAGTTTCCATTGAATTGTATAGAAAATATTGGTAAGTAAGTATCTATTTAATACAGCGGTTTTCGTGTAAAATTTCGAGCTAAGTGTGTTTTATTCTATTGTGAAAATTTTTAGGACTCGTGTTTTTACACCGTACAGATCAGTCTATATCCTCAATTTTACTACATATTTTTTCCAAAATTTATGATTCAACACTCACTGTTATGCGAAATCAACCAAAGGTATTTGAGGTAGTATTTTTTTTAATTTAAATTTAATTTTGGTATAAATATAGATGGGATCTAGGAGAAGCATCATAGCCTTTTTGCCACAAAAATAAATTCTAAACTGGGTGCAATAGGTAAAAATACGTTTGTATGGACAACCAATCATTTCTCAAGTAAGCAGTACGGTAGGGTCATCGAAGAACTTATATTACGCAGACGAAGTCGCGGGCACCGGCTAGTATTATATATTAAAAAAATTGCACTCTTAAATGAAATATAAATGAATCCGAAAACAATGAAAAATGCACCGTAAAGTGGTACAAATAAGGTTGATTTTGATTAAATAATCGGCATTTTACTCCACCTGAATAAAATGAAATTAATTTTTTACCGACTTAAAAAAAAGGAGGAGGTTCTCAATTCGACTGGATTTTTTTTGTATATAAGTCACAAGTCAAAGTGGTACCTTGGTAGGTATTAATCCCATTTAAATTTAAAAGAAAATATTCCGCCTTTAAGCGTGGCAAAATAGAGGAAGAATCCGGTTTCGCGCTCTTTCCGATAATCGATTTCAATAAAACTTGACATATAAATGTAATTCCACGAACTTTTAATGTTGGTATTTTTATAAAAAAATTACAATGATTGAAGAAAAACATAGAATTTTGTTTATTTTTCTTTGTGTAATTTTCTTAAGAAATGAGAACGAGCACAGTAGCACAAAATTAATGAATCGTGCTTTGACGAGGGTAAATGACAGATTGTAATAAAATAATAAATCACACAACATAACTGGATAATATTTTATTTTACGCTTTTTTATGTCAGCAAAACTTGATTATAGATTGATACAAATTCTACAAAGTAACTTGCGATCTTGTGTGACTTAACATAACATAATAGACTACAACGGGTCACAAAAAGGCCTGAGTACTCGTATATGAAATTAAAAAAGACGGATAAAACCTCTATATATATTTAGGTTCCTAATACAATTGGATGTCACCATGCTTATTGACAAGGAATCACATAGCCGTGAGAGCGAAAAAGACCTACCAAGACCAAGAGATGAGTGTATCATTCTGATGATTTAAAAAAATATTTTGGCAAAAGAAGTAGGTACTCGTAAAGTTCTGAGAAATTATATTTTCGTATTAATATTTGGATATATGTAGCAAAAGTTAATTACTACGTTGTTGGAAATACTACGTAATAATTAAAAAAAATATTTAAATTAGTATAATAGGAAAAGAAACTATTTTTCCAGATTTAAATCGCGTATATTTGTTTTTTCAAACAAACCAACGTTTCGGGCCCTTTGCAGGTCTCATGGTCACGGTTGACTGAGGTGGTACAGTCTTCAACCAGTTATGTCTAATATTAATATTAATGCAAACCACGCTATTTTTTTTATTTTTTATAGTGAAAAATTATTACGTAGTATTTCCAACAACGTGTTAATTAACTTTTGCGACATATATCCAAATATTAATACGGAAAAATAGTTTCATTTCCAATGTGTAACAATCGCGAAAACCTAAGAACTCAATTAGAATATAATTAAAAGCAAAACCCCTTCTCCGTCACCGCACCTCTGGATGGCACTGTAAATAACACGCGCAGCTCCAGGCAGCAGGCCTATTTTCTATCGGCGCGGGCGCGCCGAAGCTTTGTCCCACATATACATACTTTTGACATAATATTATGTGTGCTTATTACTATTATTGTGGGAAGTTAATGTTTTCATTTTGGGATTAGTTTCAGATTGTAATAAATATTTATTTAGAAATAGTAGATTGCAATACCCTGTCAGGGTCCATGTTTGTATGATATGCTATTTTCTGTACATGAACATGATGCAATAAAATAAATTATTTGAACTGTGAAAGGCTTAAATTTCTAGATTTTTAGCAGCGATGCAAACGCGATGCAGTCGCTTTTCGCCTACTTTTACACAAGCGCGCGATTTTAAACAGCGATGCAAACGCGATTGCACTGCGCCAGTGCATCGATACCAACGCGCGATTGCATCGATCCAATCCCCTATAAATCCCAAGCGTTTTACGAACGCGCGATTGCATCGCTACTCTTACGTTGCAAAATGTTATGATCTCACGTCCGGTACTGAAAATAACATTCATTCACAAAGTCATTATGCAAGATTCCAAACGTACCTTTTTTAAAGTACCTTAGTTTAAAGTGTTTAAAAATGCATGTACTCAAACGAAAGGGCTTAACCATGGCTTAACCCCAACACCTGCTTACTCTGATATTAAGTAAAATATTGTATAATAATATGTTCACGAATTTCAAGTTCACACAAATTTACCGGAGGCGAAAATAGTAAATATCTGTGGTTGTCCATGTTGTTGAATTCGTTTTCAAGCCCATAGATGGCTATTTGTTTCAAATTTCTACTCCAAGTTTGTTGCGACGTACTACAGAAAGGCGTAGAGTCTCCTTCTAGAGTAATTCGTACTTCTTTAGAATTGGCTTCGAAAATTAAAGTGGTGTTTTTGGCCATGTACAGCATGCCTTTTGCGTGGCAAATACTTGTGTGTTCAATCTCTACAGCTATGCAATTTAATGCAATTTTTAGTGAGAATTCTGCGAACAGACGTGTGTCGTCCGCTGAAGTTCGAGTATCCTGAAAAATATAAGGTAGAGTCAAATGAGCCATTTAAACAAATACTTTGATATTGATCGATTCTACAATGTAATACAATTAAACATTGCGGAAAAGCGGCGATTCTTTTTCTGCGTCGTAATAAATAAATAATAAATAAGTATCATACACATATTAGACAACATTACATACGTTGCTATGATCCCAAAGTAAATAACTAAAGCACTTGTGTTATGTAAATTGGAAAGAACGACGGAACCACAAACGCCCAAACCCGATATAATACTGAAAAGTTATGAAACTATTTTTACGATTTCCTATTTTTTGACCATGTTGACGGTTGAGTCAACCGTGACCATGGGACCTGTAAAGGGCCCGAAACGTCAGTTTGTTTAAAAAAACAAATATACGCGATTTAAATCCGGAAAAATAGTTTCTTTTCCTATGTGTAACAATCGCGAAAACCTAAGAACTCGATATTGAAAAGTTAGTTTTTTTTACATTGACCCGGCCGGGGATCGAATCTGGGACCTCAGAGATGTAGATTCGAGAACGGAGGTCGTCATAATTTCTGTTCTATTTTTACTGAATATTTAATGGTAGAGTAGAGTATGATAGAACCAGTCTGATATCTGCGACTCGGTATATACATAGTTATATTATAATGATTATTATTAGGCGATTATTTGCGAAATAACTGAGAGGAAAACATTCAAAAACATCAGTAAGATTAAAGTGCTCCCTTTTTTGTCACAATCAAAGGATGGTTGAGATTCTTTTTTGGTTACAGATAAAAAAAAATCTCTTTAATTTCAAATTTCTTTTCCTCAAAAAGAAAATAACTCACCGTTTGTATGACAACAATAGAACCACCCCGTATCAAAGTTAACAAATCGGCTTCAGTCGTTGTCATGGTCACAAGTTCACCTTCTTTACCGATCAATGGTAAGCCACTCCACATTTCAAACCATTGCCCAGGAGGTATCCACAAATGTACACGGGTCTGAAAAGGCTCCAGATTTGGTACAATGATGAGATCCTCACCAACACTAAATTGCGTGTTCAAATCGGTCAAATTTGCGGACAATGGAAATTGATAAAACATTGGTCGTAATAATGGTCCTTGTTGTAGAGTCGTGTAAAAGTAAGGCATTAAACGCAATCTGTTATTTAGTGCTGCTATTATATTTGCTCTGTTTGTTCCAACAAATGATAAAGGGTCTCTTCTTGTATTTTTTGAATGTATTTTAATCATTGGCATGTAAGTAGCTGCCATATACCACTTGACGCATAGAGGAATCTGCATGGTTCTGTTAAAGTTTTCCGTGTCGCCGCAAATCGGGGATGCCCACAGCCACTGCCCCGATACTCCGCCTAGCGCAGCCTGTACCAATTCCCTTTGAAGATTCGTCCAGGAAGTATCAACACTTTGCCTGTTCACGATTAAATCTGCGGTCATACGATTACTCGTGGCCCAAATTGGTGTCTCCCCGGAGATTTTCTTAAAAGCGTTTGCGAAGAAGTTTCCATATTCATTATGGGAGTTTACATATAAATCTCTATTTGATCTTGTGATGTTCCATTGAGGTGTATTATTAAATGCGACAGCAAAGTCCTGAAATACGTAAATTATTTAAAACTATTTCAAGTGGGTGTTCACTGATGAATAGTCACATTTGATACGACATATTGTCTATTTTACACGGCTTTTATAATGTATACATATCGATAGTGTAGGTAATTGGAGATGAGAATTTCGCCATAGACATTTTGATATAGTAGCAGAAGAACTACTTGTAAAAGAACTCGTTCAGAGACGTACTTACTGCCTTACCTATGTCTGCCGCTAAGCAGTAACGTGAGCATTATTGGGTTTCCGATTAGAAGGGTGAAGGGTGCTGGTGAAATTACAGGCACATGGGACTTGTCGACTTATGTCTCAGGGTGATGGGTGCAGTAGTATTGTCCCTCAGATGTTTGCGATTTAAAGTTCTAAATGACAGGCGGTTTACCACCAGGCGCACGAATTACTTGTCTCGTCACTCGGTATTACAAAAAAAAAGTTTTGTGTTTATGAATCTCTTTTAAACTCTGAACTTGTTGCACTAGTTTAGATAACACCTATTATTGACATGAAGTTAGTTGAAGAAATATTTTAAAATGTAGTGACCATGAGAGGATCAAAAAAATTCATAGTGTAGTTTTGCGGTAATGATAATGATTATTGAACAAAATAATTCGAAGTCTTACCTCATTAAAATACGGTAATATATCGTAAGTATCGTTATGATTCTTCAAAGATTCATCCAAAGGCCAGGCGTTGTGCAAAATCACGCCATCCACTTTAAAATCGTATTTCCAAATTTGTTGCATAAAATCCTCCGTGACATTTTCGTAATATGGGTATATTACCGTTCTATTTTCAACAAGACCTTGATAAAATTCACGAATTTCTGTAATATCACCTTTTATATGTTCTTGAAGTATTGTTTGAAGGATATAGTCTTCGTACTGAGAAGCAATAGAACATTTGTCGTCTAGCTTCGTAAGTGTACCATTTTCTTGAGAGGTTTCGTTCTCTGGAACGGAATATTCATAGCGTAACTGTGAAAAGAATTAAATTTTGTTATAAATGGCAACTATTTTACTAATTTGACCTCCGAGGCTCGATAGTTAAACATTTTAGGTTGAAATCCGAGCAACCCGAGCCGATTCAGATCTATCTATAAATATTCTGGCTGTGTGTCAGCAAACATTTTATAGGTTTCATTACATTATTTTCATTATATGATGTTTTTTTAGATTTTGTGAAGTTATCAGAAAATATCAACTGGAATATGTTTGTTCAATTTCGACTTGAAGAATACAAATCCGGAAACAAAAACGAAAACAGTCAATCAAAGTTGCAAAGCAATTTTACACCCAAAAATACTGCTTAGTATGAAATGAGGGATTTCAAATAGAAAACTACCGTGAGACTCAGACTTATATTACTCACGTAGGAATTTGATAAAAATTAAGTCAACGAGATGTGTGTGGGCGCAGGTGGCAACAACGATAGTTGCTCGTTGTTGCCAACTGCGCCCACACTCGTATTGAGTTACCGGGCTGTCAGGGGTTTGGTGCGTTGTTTCCGTCGAGTCACCGCTGCGGAATCTCATGATTAAGGACTACGGAATGGTTTGAAATATCGACATATTAGAAAAAATGTGACGTAAATATATGAATTATCCGCTAGTTAAGTTAATACGAAACTAGGGATCTAACTGCCCAATTTCAAAATAAGTTTTTTCATATGTGTATTTCGTACAAGTTCTAACTTTTAATTGATATCGGAAATCTGAAAAGTGTGTCATCTTTCAGTCTAAACTTCAGACTTGTTATAACTTACAGTTCGAGCTTGGTAGTTAGTGTTATCTGATATAGTTTTATTTAGGTGTAAATCTCTGGGATATGTACGTACAGATGTACAGATGAAACCATATTGTTTCATGTACATAGTTTTACACAAACGTGTTTGGCTGGACGGTTGTTTTATTCATTTTCAATTCAAGCCTTTTTTTATAACTGACAAAACGGAATGATCATTCATTAAAATAAGAAACGAGTGCAATGTTACTCAAAAAATGAAAAAAGACGGACCATAAATTAGTGTAGAGATGACAACTGTTGCTAAAAAAGAAATATTTCTGCATATGGCAATATACACTAAATTCGTAAACTTTCATTAATTTGGACTTTTGAGTAGGCACAAATAACAGAATTACTTATTAGAAATAATTATATGACAATCCATGATTATACCTTTAATTTATTACTAAAAAAAAGGACTAAAAAAATATTATAAACTTATTATAAACTTTAATAACCCGGTTTCACACTTGTAGAGTAAAAAAGGGGTTTTCTCCAGAAACGGACTTGTGAACTTTTTTACTGTGAAATACTTGAGCTAATTGACTTTTAATTTAAGATTGTTCTCGTGGATGTTTGTATAGAAATTTGTATATTTCTTCTACAAACAGCACGAATCTTTGTTCTTGAATATGGTGCTCAAATTTAATTTGTTCTACTTACTACCATTACTTTTCCGTTTTGTTTCCGTTTCCTAATAAATTTCTAAACTAATGTTTGTTAAACTGAGGAATTTCTTATTTTGACGACCTCGATAGCGTTGGATGAGGAGACTTCGGGACCGATTCTAGGTAGGACCAATTTAAGAAACAAATTTTTCCAAATTGGTTCTGATCTTGGTGTTCTGGGTAGTTCCCTGAGTGAATGCTGTTGTTCTGGTTCTCATAGCACAGGAAAGTCCCTATTTTCGACTCAACCGTATAACAAAGACTCATGTGCAAGATTGCTTATTCTCAGGACATTATACATTTTGTTCGCTGTTCTTAGCTGTGGATATCAAAGCGACCATTGATCGATTTTATATTTCCGAAACGAAATTATACATCAAATTATGAAAACACCTATAACTAGGTTTTATTTTAAATAAGGAGATTATGCATTTATCCTATTTTCGTTGTATAATCACATCGGACTCTGTTCTTCGGATGAGTCGATTTGTTTGTGGTGAAATTAAAGTAGGTTAAACAATAAATACTCACATAAGGTGAAACAAGAGGTATATATTTCTTCCCACTGGATCGTACAGCATCAGCTCCCTTGTTTCTATCATCATCTACCGGGTCACATTCGTTGTCATTAAGCACTATGGGACCTATACCACAGTGGCTTTCGTAAGGCAGGTTAGCTTCTGCTGCCTCGTCGAGGAAATTTTTCAAATCCTTCAGAGGAGTGCTACGAGTTTGCGGTAGTTCACTGAAAGAAAAAGTATTCAATATAAATGTTTCATATGGAATCATTATAATGAAGGGCACTGTTTCAAAATCTAAAGTCGTCATCTTTAGTTGGTAGCGGAAAAAGCTGCCCTAGTTATGGGTGTCGTGAAACAATTTTTTTCTTGGTCTTCTTGGGGCTCCTTTTACCTGAGATCTTGTGATTATTCTAAACTGTTGAAAATTCGTAGAAATGCTCTCTTTGGATGTAGCCAAAAAAAGTCTATTTTTACTGAACAGTAGACTTCATGTTATATTTAGCTCTGTCTAAAAGTATTTCTAGAAATCCTATGTACCCTTGCATGCAACCCACAGCGTGTGCATGTCCACGATCAAGCACAATATCATCTAAACGGTTTATAAGGCCAAGTATGAGAAGGGTTGCCGATTTGCATACTGGTTTAAAGCGCAAATGCGACAGCGTAGCAATGTTCTGAAAGTGGTGTTATTTATCCTAATATGTTATGTTTCAAACAGTCATTTGCAAAAATATAACTATTAAGAGTATAGTTATACTAGTAGAGAGTCATTTACAAAAACACGACCACTCTGAGAGTATAGTTATACTTGTAGATAGTCATTTTCAAAAACGCGGTTATTCTAACAGAATAGTTATACCTGAAGACAATCATTTACAAAATACGGTTATTCAAAAAGAATAGTTAAATACTTGTAAACAGCCATTTGCAACGATAAAATTATTCTAAGGGAGCAAATAGATCTGCAAAGAGTCGTTTTTTAAAAAAATATCCCAAGGGAGCAAATATACATGCAGGCAGTCATTTGCTGATAAACAGTTATTCTAAGAAAGCAAAAGTAATCTGTCACTTTAAGACACACTAGTCTTTCAGACAGTACAAGGAGTATGCAGAAACAATTGTCATTTACTTGTTTTAGCGAGAGTATTAAAATGTTTCAGAGCGAAAAATCAATAGGCCAGCAAGGTGATGATGATGTACTGAACCATTATATAAAAAATACAAAGAACTTTAATATTAATTAACACAAATTGTAAATATTAATGGTCTGTGGGCGAGGCTGTGGGTTGAATATGAAAACAGTATGACGCTAAAATATTTAACTAATACACGTTCTTTTCTTGTCTTATTTTTCACTACCGCACTGTAACTAGTTTAGATTCCTAGGGGCCTCGGAAGGCTTTGATGCTGTCCAGGGCGTGCTACTACATTTGAAAAAATAAAAACCCGAGTAATTTAATTAATTTTATTTTACATTTTCAGGGAAACTAATAGTTAGGTATATAAATAGTTATAGATAGAGACAAAAATAAATATATTTTATTATGAAAATTAACACGGTTATCACACATTATAATACAAAAGTAACGGGACTTACTCGCGTAGTATTTTAGTCGGAAGCGGTTCGACTAGTTTCGACCATAACCGACGGTCTTTTTCAGGGGTTGAGTGCAACGTTCACGACCGCGTCACGTCTAGCTGCGTCTAGCACTGCGCGCTGCGGCTCTCTGCGCGCGCGCCGATGACGCAGTCCGCAGTAGGGAAGCTGATACGTTGCGTCAGCGCGTCCTGGAACTCTTCTTTGCTACTGCTGTCCGTAGGATTGTTGTCGGGAACAGTCCAGCACAGAGAGCTCACCACGTCGTTACCACTAATGGATATGGTCGAAATTAGTCGGACCGCTTCCGACTAAAATATTACGCGAGTAAGTCCCGTTATTTTTATATTATAAAATAAATATAGATGGCCAATTACAAGTTTCCACAGATAATGTATATAAACTACACTACATATTTTATATTTTTTTTCCTTGTGACTTTTTTGTGTTAATTAAGCAAGTTGATATAAAAAATACGTGTCAATTATTTTTTTGTGATAGTGGTGGGCGTTGAAATTTTTTTATCTTGCCTAAGTGGGCGGTGAGCCAAAAACTTTGGGAACCTATGATTTAAGGTTTAGTTCAATCTTGTATAACTTCGTTAATTTACAAGAACAATCCCGTAAATCTTAGACGCTTGTGGCTGCGTCAGGTGTTGAAACTTGAACAAATGTGGGTGGGTTTGTAAACTTTTGTGCTTTTGTTTAGGTACTTTGTGTTCAAAAACACGTTTAAAAAGGGTACGAGCATTTTCAAGTGAAAGCCAAATTTAATTTTTTATTTGAATGAATGACGTCAAAGAATTTTCATGTACAACAACATCAACCAATTCACACGTACTGTTGAACGCGGGCCTCCTACCAGGCGACGGTTTAGGCCATAGTCCACCATACTGACCTAATGCGGATTGTGGATTTCACACGTTTACCGAGGGTTGTGTAACTTTTTCAACGTGCAGTTTTCATCACGATATTTTCCTTCACCGAAAATCTCATGGTAAATTCCAAAAACGTCAGAGGTACGGTCGGGATACGAACCCACGGCCTCTGCTTGAGAGGCGGTAGGTCGAACCATTACACTACCATGGCTTTTATATGATCGGTGGAAATTATAATAAGTATTACTTTTATACAAATTAACCGTTTACCAAATAATTTAAGACTTTACCTTTACCTTATGATTTTATATTGTTAATTGTTATGCTGCTATGTTTTGAAACTTCCAAACACAAATTCCTTTCATAGCAACGACAGAACATGAATTTAACTAAATTTCCAAACCCATATGTGAGTTTAATGTGACAAAAAGCAATGACTTATTCACACAAAATGAAAAACAAGAACAACAACAAAGCCACGTAAAACTTGGCAAAATCTAACACTGGATTTGAAAGAGTACACTTCCAGTTAATGTAATTAAAAAGCTTTGAACGTACCTACAAACGTGGGCACCCAGCATCCAGTACTCCGGCTCATTTCTATAACCAATTAGGCTCATCACATCATTCATTATGTCTTTCGGACTTGGTCCAACAAAAAGATGAAACTTCAACCCTGAAGTTGTAATACTGCGAACCACAATCTGATTTTCTCCATGAACTCTCACTTCTGTGGGGTCTTTAATATCTATTAGCAATCCATGGTAAGTATCGTAAGATTTGGCAATAATTAAAGGTACAGAACTTATTCCCCCATCGTAATTGTATAGCACTTTAGTAACGTTTTCCTTTAACGGAATTTCTCCTAGTCCATACATGGATCCATTTGTTAGTATAAAAGACATTTCCCATATATTATTGGAAGCTATCAAAGGGCCTCTTGCAGTGTTAAATATAGTCCCATTGGTACCATTAACAACAACTTGTAGTTCCGGATTTGATATCACGTATGTGTAGTTTTTTTCGTCCAATCTATTTCCTTCGACGGTTAAATTTTCTGGATTATAAAACATTAGAGATAAATGTGTTGATGATGTTTCGTTGATTGATAATCTGATTTGTGGTAAGCTGTTCTGACCGAAAGGTACAGTCGCAATTCTTGGTTGTAGTATTATGTTCTCCGTCCAATTTCGGTACGCTATAAATGAAAATCGAGATGGAAATCTATGAAAACAGAAATTGTTGATCAAGTCATAGCAACATTGGGGATGACAATCTGAAGCGTTGACGTCGCCAATTCCACATGGCAATCTATTTGCCCTTGGTAGTAAACATGAGCCTATAGACAAGCCATCCCCAGGCGCTAAATCCACACTGGAGAAGTACAAAAACTGGTATAGCAGAACTGGTGTTATTACAGCTAGGATCAGAAACGCTATGACAAGCTTTAAAGGCCTGTTGAGTAAAAGCCAGTGATACCAGGTACTTTCTGAAATGAAAATAATAATTATTAATGCCCAGTCCTGATTAAGAAGATCTAATTTTGGGTTGTTTAACTGCTCACAATGACAAGCGATCCCGGGGTGCAGGTCTCTTATAATTTGTGTTATGTAATTAAGGGTTAAATTAATTACTTAAGGGTTATTGCAGAATAGTAGTGAGGTCAATGTGCTTTATAGTCATCTGGAGCTGAGTGAAAGATCTATTTGACACGTGTATCTTATTATTATTTTTTCTTTCTTGTATTGTTTCATGTCAAAGAAAGTAAAGAAAGTTTTAGTAGCATTAGAGTTCCTTATCTATTTCTGCCGCCAAGCAGTAATGTCAGCATTACTGCGTTCCGGCTGTGAAGGGTAAGGGTAATGATGAAATTACAGGCACATGGGACTTATCAACTTATGTGTCAGGGTGACGGGCACAGTGGCAGTGCCCTTCAGATTTTTTCGATTTAAAGCTCTGAGTGGCACTGCAACTGTTATGGATAGGAGTGTAGCTTGCCATTGGGCGCACGACTTGGTCGTTCCGTCACTTGTTGTATAAAAAATAATTTTAATGTAATTAAATCAATTAATTTAATTGTCTAATCTCCAACTTTAAGAACGCTGATCTTGGAAACACTTTATATTTTAATCTTGTTACGAATTAACTCCGCAAGGGTGACGTCACTATCATTATACTTTCTAATCATACGATTAGCATCAATAAGGGCCAGCGTAAACCGGCGAACAGCGGGGTAGAGCATCGAAGAAGATTTCATGCCCGCCATGACTGACTGATGAGCGATATCCCTTACGATACCGCGAGCGCCCGCCAGCGTACCGCGGTATCCGATGACATGCCACCAGTCGCTCGGATTTGACTCTGTTCCACTAGCCAAAATGCAGTCGAACAGTCATGATGCATTCAGGCAGATTCCAGCGCACACCAAAGGATCCCGCCGCATACCGGTGAATCCCGGCGCATGCCTGTGGATTACGGCGCCTGGCACATCCTCCAGCGTGCTTTTCGATGGCGCAGAGGGAAAGATCGTTCACAGATTATTGAAATTTATATCTTATATAAATTAAAATAGCATACAATCTTCCTGTCCGCCGGTTTACGTTGGTCTTAAGAAAGATATAATATAGTCTACACCTGATTCAACGTACCTTTCGTATCATAATTAAGGGTTTCTTGTTGGTCTTCTTTATAGTCATTCACGTATTTTAACATATTTTACGATTCACTGAGGTCTGTAAAATAAAGAACGTGTAATTATATTTTTTATAATTTGTTAAGTATTATGGTCTATTAAGCGGAAGACGATAATTTTTTTTAACGCATACACTCAACATTGCCCCGCACTAGGGAAACCCTGTGTCGCGGGTGCCATGGACACACACATAGACAACCACAAATTACACCCAAACTCACGAGAGAAATAAATGTAGGCTATACAAATACTTCTCCCGGCCCGGGAATCGAACATGAGACTTGTGCGTGGCAGTCCGGCCACGGAGGCTGTTATAAGGCAGTTATTATGGCAATATTCCGATATACGAAAACATTGGTTGTAAAAAGATTGCTTATTTCCGTCCATAACGGTTATGGCGACATTTCTTTCTTTTTATGCCATTTTATGTTTACATTCTTGTCAAAATACCTAAATTCGAATTCTTACCTATCCAGAACGTGTCTTCGTTAGTTATTTTTTCTACCAATTCACCTCCACAAACACTACACGTTAAATTTTTTTTTTGCTTCAAATAAAGTCACAGAAGCACTTTGCAAAAATATTTTCCATTACTGACGCAAAACCCAATAACGCTTCTTTGATAATGACCATCGAAAATCAACGTACTTAATGTAATCAGTTGTAATGTACAATAATGATAATTGTGTTCGCCAATTGAATTGTTCGATATTCTACAACGTAGAGATAAGATTAAATAGCAATGTGACTTCCTAGAAAAACGAACCATAGGGAAGCGACGTTCATACTAGAAGATGTATCAATGAATTACCACGTAAAGTGACGTTCCGATTATAATTTTTTATGATATGAAGTGACAGGACAAACAAGTCGTGCGCCTGGTGGTAAACGGCATGTCCGTAACAGTTGCAGTGCCACTCAAAGCACAAAGATAAGAGGGGCACTGCCACTGCACCTGTCACCCTGAGACAAATTCCAAGTGCCTGTAATTGCACCAGCACCCTTACCCTTTAAAACCGGAACGCAATAATGCTCACATTACTGCTTGGCAGAAATAGGTTTGTAAGTTAGCAGTACTTTCCTGGACGAATTTTTACACAAGGAGCTCTACTACTAAATTTTTGTAGTAGTAAAGATGCCTTTTTCTGTTCTATTTCATGTCGCTATCTACAGACCCGATGGAAAGAGATTTCCTGGGGGACTACGGGTTCCTCAGGTGACCAGGGTACGGCGGGCGTCCAGGCCAAGCCCTCCGTCAGTGATACGCCTTCACGGGCGTCTCCGGTGTACCCGGTTTCTGGATATAGACTCGCCGGGCCTCGTGGTAGCTGCAGAGAGGGAGATATTCGTTTGCTCCGGTAGTGTGTGGCCAGGGAGTCCGTCTCGCGCGCAGTTAGAGCGTCTTAGTAGCGGTCTAGGCACGTGAGTTGCCCTTTAAGTTGGTAGCTATGTCCGGACATTGTTATAGGACACTGAGACCGACATATCAGGCACTAGCTCGGAGAGGTACTTGAGGATGCCGGGTAGGTTTCTGGGAACTGAAGAAACGCTTCTGCGTCGGGAGGTATTCACGTTCTATTCACGAACTGATCTGGGGTCAGGGCCAGAACTTGCAAGGTCCCTGGGCTTGCATAGGTTATAGTGTCCATCCCGCATAACCATAAGGTTGATATAGTAAAGAAGGGTCACTATAATCAATACTTAATTGTAAATATATTGAACTGTACTATTTCATAATGCAATAAATTTAAAAAAAGTCCACGAGGTAATTAATTATAGGGCCTGTCGATCGGCAAACGAAATAAAGTATGTAAAACTTTTGCTTTCTTTTCCGAGAAACTGAGTTGCACTTTCGCTAATCTGAATGTTGATACGTGCTCATTTAATTAAAAAAGAAATATATTTTTTTGTACTTTGTCAGCTATTTATTTCCCACTATCAGAAACTGTACAAGTTTCTACTAGAATTATTCTAGAATGTGAAAAATATTTATAATAAATAGCATCATAGTGTTTAATCGTAATAAGGAAATTTTGTCAGATAATGTCAATCTTTGTCTATAGCGGCTCCATTTTTCAAATTGCATTTAGACTGGTAAATTATCAGGTGAATAGATAGATAATAAGAAGAGATAGAGTCTAATCTTATCAATATTTTGACGACATACAGATGTATGATTTTAAAAGTGCTTGGTTTGGACTGTAGATGCTCACTATGATATTATAGTGACGTCAGTCACAGCGTGATATTTATAGACACATGTTTGTAATTTTTAATGATATCAATATTATATCTCATATTACTGAAGATATCTCAAAAACTCAACTTCGCCGCTATGTTGTGGCTTTCTTAAATCGTTTTTCAATTCAAAGAGTCAATATAGATGGCACATGATCCTCAGGAAATATGCAATTAACATGGGCGTTCGTTAAGGTGAAATTCTGGGTCCATATCTGTTTACTTTATATTAATGATTTACGTAGCCTCGGGAAATGTGTAGAAAATGAGATAAATTTGATACCCGATGCTGATTTCTTGTTATCTAAAGGCGACGACTGTGTTAACAATATTATTTCAAAGTTCATACGTTAGACTGGTTTATACCCCAAAACCTGCTTTTTAATGAGAAAAACACAAATTGTTTAAAATTTATAAAACGCAGAGACGAATTACCTTACGACGAAGGTTTGTAGTGTAGGCACTGTTTTCACTGTAGTATCTACCTATAATAAGTTCTGAGTCTGCATTGGGAGTAATTGAAAGACCGCAATTTACGACAATAAGCATTTACGACATTTAGGCATTAGCTTACATTTGGCAATATCTTCTTTTGGAGATCAAAATTTATTTTCGTATTTCAAGCGCGAAAGAAATATCGTAATCACTTTGTTCGACATAAATAAATAAAATAATAACAAATATTACACAACACACATACGTTGCTCTGATCCCAAAGTAAGTAGCTAAAGCACTTGTGTTATGGAAATTGGAAACCGCGATGGTAACACAAACAAAGACAATATAGAAAAGTTAGTTTTTTACACTGACCCGTAATTTACCCGTAATTTTAATAGCAGTAGAGCTCTTTGTGAAAGAGTTCGTCCATGGAAGTAGTGCCTCCTCACCAAGCTTTACTGCGTGCCGGCTTTGAAGGGTGAGCGAGCTGGTCAAATTACAGGTACATGGAACTTGTCAACTTGTATCTCAGGGTGGTGGACGCAGTGGCAATAGCCCTCCGATCTTTACGACACACCACTACATCGTCCCGCTACTTGCTATCATAAACAACATACAATGAATTTCCATTAAAACCCGGTTCGTCAATATTCATTCGTGGAATATCTAAAGAAGTCTTTTTGGAAATCGCACGTTTTAATAAAACTACAAGAAAATTTTATTGATTCCATGAGGCGTCCTTTCAGTTGCGAGTAGTTAGTGCCACTTGGCGTGAATATTTCTATTTTTGTATAAGAGCGGTTCTATTATTCGTGATGCAATTATTACGAATAATAGAACCGCTCGAATCCGGATCGAAGGAAGTAATTATAGCCTAGTATTAATCATACTTTGATTACAATTAACTACACAAATTTGCAAACATAAAACACAGTAACAACAGTTTCAACATTCAAGCCACACATTTGCATGTCGATATTAACTTATGATTATAGTACAACACTAAATCCGCCATTTGTGATGGACATTTTTGGTTTAGGTAGGGACGTTTATTCCGTAGATAAGGCAGCTCCTTTCCTTTATTTTTTCCATCCTAGACCATTTCACTATTTTAATTGAACCGTGTTGCCATTAAACAAAAAAAAAAAAACATTTATTTAACTGTTCAAAACAAAAAAAACCTTGTAATACATAGATAATCACATTAGGCTAGGCCGAACAAGTTCCGAACATAAAGTGTATACATAAGGAATTATTTTTACATTATTATTAAGTTATATTACAAAAGAAACATAACAAATGGAAACAATAATAAATATAACATACTAATGATAGAATTTTGAATGAAAATTTGGTGCAAACAATCTAAATGAGGAAAATTTCCCGACAAACATGTATTATATTGAAATAAATTTAAATACTATATCAAAATCGTGTGAAACCCTACCCGTGCTTGATTGTACAATTTTTAACGGTTATATATATATAATATATATAGGTTATCCTAAGTACTGTAACTCACCTTGTACAATTGATTGCTATCCCTCAATGAACTAAATTAAAATATGGTGACTCCAAAACGTTTCGAAAATAAATGTGTAATTCAATGATGTGATATGAAAAAAATTTATTTCTTTCTTCTTAATACCTAATGACATTCAGGTTGGGACTTCCTAGTAACCTGTGGCATGAAGGCTCGCTCTTCCATTTCTCTTTAGTAATAGAAATAAACCGTGTATATAACCAGAAATAGAGACGAAATATCATTTAATTTGTCAGCCAGCCCGAATTAAAAACAATTGACAGGTGTCGTCGATTGTTTCGCTTTAAATTGACCAGTTTAAGTAAGTTGGAAGTGGTAAGCTAGAAGACGTCGGTACGAATCCGGCCGGATCGAAGGAATTTTTTCTGAGTGTTCGATCTTTGTATTAATAATTATAACAAACTAGCGGAGTATTTTCAAAAAAAAAATTGAATATCAATTCAATAAAAATTTAAAATACAGCGAATACGACATCTCTAGTCAGGACTGGTAACTGTAAAGGTACTAACTGGGTGATAAATCTTTCATAGATTTCTCATAGATGGCGCTACGACTAAAAACTCGTTGAAAAAACCAAATACAAAGAAAGACACGACGCAAGCACATAGAAAAATTCGTGAGATCCGCCGCTGGTTCGTTCCGTGGCTTAGTTGGTATAGCGTCTGGCACGGTAAGCTAGAAGACGTCGGTTCGAATCCGGCCGGATCGAAGGAATTTTTTCTGAGTGTTCGATCTTTGTATTAATAATTATAACAAACTAGTGGAGTAATTTCACAAAAAATAATTGAATAATATTCAATAAAAATTTGAAAATTTTTATGTT